TACACACCGTGTAAACAAAACAATATTTCTGCTGATGCTTATGACGCCACTTTACATTCTGATACCGTCGACTCAAGTTTTTCAAGTATATCAAGTTTTTCTACTGGTGACTCGCCAAATAAATCAAATTTCTCTACGGGCGACTCGCCAAGTAAATCACATTTTTATACCGGCGACTTGCCAAATACATCAAATGTTTCTACCTGTGACTCGGCAAGCACATCCAACAATGATACCACATACACCAACGCCTCACCAACCAAAACGTACCACACAGAATCCACTTTGGCCGAAAGTTCGACTAGCTCTGAGCATCGAGTGAAACCACCAAAACCTCCTGTTCCGCCGAAACCAAAATTTTATAAATATTGTAGACCCAAGCCACCTGACTCACCGGCTGACCCGTGCACAGCTGACCAAAGTACAGTTGCACCAGCACAAGACCCAACTCCCCCCTCATCAACCATTCACACCCGCCTATCGCCAGAAAAGTTCACATCTTTAAGTTCCTCCATAGCTAGAAAAGATCTAACACCTAACCAGGATCTGTCCGAAACTTCAACGAAAAGAATTCGCTTGAAAAGTTTTGAAGCAGAACAACATGCTATAGACAAAGCCTACACCGACAAAGAGAAGGAGTTTATTTTAGAATCCTTGCGTCTTTCTGGACGCAGACTTGCCAGAACACAAAGCCTTGATTGTTCCATTGAAGGAGTCCCAAACTCCACCACCACCAAGCCAGCTAACAGTTCCAAAAGTCTGGCTCAGACAACGCACTCCGTGTCTAAAATCGTCAGTCAGTTCGAGACAAAAGCCACCCGTAAACCTGACATCAGACCGAGGCTTTCGGTACCCAGAGATCTTCAGACCAGTGCTGGGGTCGGTCGGTTCTTTGTAGATCACCAGCCGGAAGTCAAAGCTCCACCGGTCGTTCATGGGAAACACGGAAGTAGTGCGTTAAGAGAGACTTCCGGTTCTAGTCGAGATGATCCTAATTTAAAAATGAATGCCTTATCATGTTCTGAGTTACCGGATGATATCACTAGCACATCACCGCGTCCTTCAGATGATGTCATAATAACATCAATGCACTCGCAAGAAAATGCCATCACTATATCAACAAACTTACTCGGTGAAACCATCATTACATCAACAGACTTAGGAGAGGATACCATCATAACATCACAAACATCGTCAGAAAATAACATCACTATATCAACAAACGTAACCGAGGATACCATCATACCATCACCAAAACCACCAGAAAATACCATAACTATATCAAGAAACTTACCGGAGGATACCATCATACCATTACCAAAAGCATCAGAGAATATTATAACTTTATCAACAGGCTCACCTAAAGACACTATCATAACATCAATACATTCGGCAGAAAATACCATCACTATATCAACACACTTACCCGAGGATACTATCATACCATCACCAAAACCATCAGAGAATACCATCACTAAATCAACACACTTACCTGAGGATACCATCATAACATCTTCGCATGCACAAGAGGATACCATCGTTACAAAGTCCCGTTCAAACGTTGAGAGCACCACACCATCAACACATACACCAGATGATACCACCATATCGCCACAGTTATTAGAGGATATCATTAGTACAACACCACATGTACGAGAGGGTACTATCCCAACAAATGCATTGTGTACTAATGATAAAAATAATTTAACATCGTCAGAAGAGGACACTAAACCTACATCAGTAGAATTTAACCCAGAAATGGGGTGTTCTCAAGAAAATACCATCACACATTCAGCAGCAGTGCAAGAAAATGTGACCAAAACATCACCACCGCCTGTAGAAGACACCACCGAATCATCATTGACTGCAGTAAACACTATGAAATCATCACTGCCTGCAAAAGACACCACCAAAACATCACTGCAAACAGATGACACCAAAACATCCCTGCCAGCAGAAGATATCAAAACATCACTGCAAACAGATGACATCAAAACAACACTGCAAACAGATGACACCAAAACATCACTGCCAGCAGAAGATATCAAAACATCACTGCAAACAGATGACATCAAAACAACACTGCAAGCAGATGATATCAGAACATCATTGCCGGCAGAAGATATCATCAAAACATCACCAGTGTTTGAAGAAGACACTACCAAAACATCACTTCCAGCAGAAGACACTACCAAAACATCACTTCCAGCAGAAGACACTAAAACATCGCCACTGCTAAAAGACGAACTCACTAAAACATCACATCCTATAGATGACATCCCTGATGATACTTCATCCAAAAATCTTGCTGCCGATATCCCTTTGTACTTTAATGGCTGTGATAATATTACTTTAGACACAACAGAACCTACTAGCATATCCCGAATTGTCGAATCTTGTAGCGCCGAATCCCTTTTTGCGACCACGGACCAAGTACTAAGTATTGACAGTATCTCCACCTCTGAACTCAACCAAACACATTCCACTGTTGAAGCCACACCAGCAGACGAGAACTCATCCCCCATCATTCCTCACACCGACCACCAAGAAGAGTTCCTGCTCGTGAGTAGACCATCACTTGTAGGAAAACACGAGACTAACACCCTGCTTCATCTCGACCACCTCCTTAAACCTCGCGCTGAGGAGGTCCGTGAACCTGACGGCCACTTTATGGTAGGAACTCTGGATGCTTCTTCAGATACCGGTTTTAAAAACTCGACATTTGGCTCTGATGCATGTGACGGTCACATTGTTGACTGTAAATTATCTGACGAGTGTCTTGTTGATACTACATCTGGCATCAACACCACTCCTGGTTCTAGAGACGCCTCTGGTTCTGTCAGCCTCCTTAGTGCTGTTGACAACCATAACACACAGGCCAGTTATAGCGTTGATATATCTAGCATTGATGCCACCCCTGAAACTCAACCCACCCCCGAAACTCAACCCACCCCTGACACTAATACCATATTTAGCTCTACACCCAGGAATGACTTCGACACCCCTAACACATTCAGTATCTCTAGTGCTGTTGCCACCCCTGAAAGTGGAGCCGCATGCGAACCTACCACTTTTCTGGGCGTTGAAGTAATGGCAAGACAGACATTAGAACCACCAATCCCATCTAGTCAAGAAATCAACACGTGTCAACCTTTGACCCCAACGTCTACTGTCAGTCAGCTGGCATGTGGAAACCCAGGAGACTTCAGTATCGTTGGCGTGTGTCTGGAGCCAATACTTCTAGAGGATTCTAGTGCTTCTAACCTTGAGACCAAAACAAACCAAGACTATGCCCAGGTCAACCATGCTACCGAACACCAACAAGACTACACGCTGGACGACCATCCCACAGAGCACCAACAAGACTACGCCCATGACAACCTACCTACAGAGCACCACCAACTCTACGCCCATGACAACCACCAATGCGCCGAATGTTCCAACGCTGATAAACACGGTGGTGCTTTCATTCTTAGAACAAGCTACTCGGAGATTTCCGGCAGCGTCGAGTCGTTTTATTCCGGCTACTCGGGTAGCCTCGACTCGTTCCAGTCGGCGGACGACGTGCTGGCAGAAGACGGGCGGGAATACTTCGTGTTTACGAAGAAGCACGAAGGTCTCGCGGATGACGATTTCGTCCACGTAGAGCCAGCTGACCACGAGCGTGCCGGTACGCCTGATCTCAATGTCCAAACTGACCCTTCTGCGGTCTCGCTTCTCCAGCCCTCACCCCCGGGGCATTTCTCACCCCCTAGCCAGCTGTATCCTGACCTAGTGGACAACAGTCACGTGGTCAAGTCCATCTGGGACAACTGTGACGTAACGGAGGATTCCTTTGAAGACTGCTGGGGTGAGTCAGACGCCTTCAGCTGTTTAGTACCACGTGACATTCGGGCGTTGAAAACGTCTGGTGAGAAGGGACTGTACGCCTGCTTCAACAACGAGACTGGCCATGAGTCTGATAGCTTAGAGGACAGTGTCTTCATTAATGAAACATTTGACAGTGTGGAGTCTCAAATTAATTTGCTGTACAATCAGGATGTTGACCATTCGGTTGATAGTGCTAGTGCTGGGACTTACAGTGAAGAAATTTCCACGAATTGCCCAAGTTTGCGTGAGTTAAAGAGCTCAGAACATGTGGATACAGTCTCTGTATCTGGTGGGCATGGTGACTCGAATATTGAGGGACCTTTTAGCTCGAATATTGAGGGACCTTTTAGCTCGAATATTGAGGGACCTTTTAGCTCGAATATTGAGGGACCTTTTAGCTCGAACGTTGATCAGCAGATTGGTTCTAGCGTTGATGGATGTTTCGACTCCTGTGTTGATGGGCATTTCGTCAACAAAATCACAAAGTTTAGGCCTGATCCGATCAGTCTGCAACCTTCTAAAGACATGCCTTTAGTCGTAGAGCCATTTCAGACGGTCGCTCCTGGTTCTGTCGTAGGTGTGGAGCCAAATCAAACGGTCGCTCCTGGCTCTATAACAAGTGATGACCGTCTCGGGTCTGGAAGTCCAAACAGTCATGTTGCCATCAGCTCCCCTGCACATGACCCTGTGGGAAAACAGAGTGACCCTGAGTCAAATGACCCAGGGACAAATGGTTTGGAGGTTGTGGGTTTTATAAACACTACAGGGCAGGAGGAGCTAGTTATTCCTGAATGTGTGGAGGAGAATACGCTGACTGGAAGCAAAACGGGTAATTTTGTTAGTTCTTGTCTTTTGGACATAGCAGGCGCCAAGTCTGCGGACTTGACACAAGTGGTCAGTGCTAAGTTAGACTCGGACACGACATTTAGTCGTGAGGTGGCTGCTGAAGGACTAGGTCTGGACACTGGTCAGATGGCCATCGATGGGTTAGGCTTGGATATGGTGCATAAAAAACAATTGACAGAAGATGGACAAGACATAGATACAGGTCATCAAGTGACCACTGAGGTGTCCGATCTAAACGATAACTGTGACGAGCTAGCCAATGATAAACTTTACCCAGATAACAACAGTAGCGACACACGTGACCCTAAATCCTCACATTTTTGCGACCAGGCTAATAATAGCTCTGACCCAGATAGCCCATGCAGCCTTGAAGGCACAGATGGTTGCCTTGACCCCGAGAAAGGTCTGAACATCAACTCGTTGCAGATGTACCTGAAGGAGCTATACACCCTAGACAGCACTGACACTATCTACGAGGACTACGCCGAGGCCGAGGACAGTCTAGCTTACAGCTATGAGGACAGTGTAGCTTACAGCTATGAGGAATACGACAACGTCGATCCTCAACACCGCTCCGGGCAATTTTCGGAAGAGCCGGAGTACTTCGAGGGGGGCTACACTCACCCCGGGGCTTTTGGGTTGTACAGCTTTCAGCCCGAGGGACACCTGGGGACCATTTTCGAGATGGACGAAGACGACCCGGCGTGCGGGGAGTGCGCATGTCACGACGGCCATGTTTGCTCGAGCTGCCGGCTGAGGCAGGCCGAGAACGACCACGAGATCTCGCCGGCCGACGTGGACTACACGCTGTCCAACTCGGAGTCATGTGACAGCGACCTCAGCCGGTTCCGGGGCACGCGGGAGAACAGCTCCAACACGATCAGCGAGGACGTCAGTTCCGCCGAGTCGATGGATTGCGACTCGTTAGAAGAAGACGCCGAGGACGCGCCCAAATACAAAGCTGTGAAGAAAGTTTCTGGTAGGTCATGTGATCATAGGGTACAACACACAACATTACTAGCATACTATAGCTGTATGTAGTGTACCGTCTGTAGCTGAGTGTGATTATAGAGTACAACACACAACATTACTAGCATGCTGTAGCTGTATGTAGTCTATCGTCTGTAGCTGAGTGTGAGCATAGAGTACAACACACAACATTACTAGCATGCTATAGCTGTATGTAGCTTATCGTCCGTAGCTGAGATACACGTGTGGGTAGAAAGATCGATCAATCGATGCGGAACTTGCGGTCACGGCCTAGCTGACCTAACCTTTCTGGGGTTGGTGGGAGAAATAGGTGTACTGAAACTGTTTCAAGAGGGGGGGGGGGGGGCGAGTTCAACAGTATGCCAAATCGGTGGGTGGGGAAGGGGGAGGGGAAAAATCCTATTGTAGCTGTCTTCATTCATTCCTTTGTCGCTAGGTGGTTGTAGTTGTAGTTGTTTTGAATATCTACCTCATCGTGAGTCTTTGTCGTTTTGTTGGTTCTATGCTTGGCTTTTAACTTCAACTGGAGTGCTAAGGATAAGATGGATGAATCACAACGGGAGAATGGTGGTTATTTTCTGGTTATATCGTAGTCTATTTTTTGTTGACTTATTTTGTTAATAATGTCAATACTGTCCAGAGTCTAAATGACTGGGTAAAATGTTTTATAAGCGTTATGGTTAGGTTTGGGTTAGGACTATAGTGTAACGAGAAGCTCGTCGGCTTATAAAAGAGGGCTAAGATGTGTTAATGGGGTTACTGAGTACCGCATGGGAACTCCACACAGTACGTCGTCTTTACTTAGCGGTGTAATTACATCTCTAGGACAAACAACCGCACATTTATCTTGATGAACCAGCTGCGTCCAATTATCGGGGAGTTCGTCAGCCGTGTCGCCGTCCTCACCAGCTACAGCTGGAGTGTGAAGCTGGAGTGTGAAGCTGGGTTGTGCCTGCCCGAGTGGGTGGATTCATCAGTCGAGGTTTGCAGCATTGATTTCTCTGATATAGGCCAGCCATCGGGATTTGATTCTTGCGTGTGCCCCTACGTTTTGTTGTGGTGAAAATAACCTGTCTCGATTGTTTTTTCTCGCGACAGGTAAGTGATGAGGTATCGTTGAAAGGGAGGTTGGTTAAGGGAGGGGGAGGGGAGTGCACGACCTGAGAGTTTCAGGGAAATTGTTTTACCGTGAGCACGTTATGTAATACTGTGCCAATAGCTGATACTGGTGATATGTTTTTTTTTTACTCATAGCGGCTGATTGGAGTATAATCTTTATATTCTTAAAATAGATATAAAAATTAGTACTATGACAAAATGTGTGCGTTTATATATATATATATATATATATATATATATATATATATATATATATATATATATATATATATATATATATATGTGTATATATATGTGTATATATATATATATATATATATATATATATATATATATATATATATATATATATATATATATAAAATCTTCAGGCTGTATAATGTTTATACTTCTTTTAGTTTCGAAATTGTGTATTTATCCTCACTGATACGTGCATCGGCTCATTTAACTTTTTACTCACATAAAACCGATTTATTTCTACCGTAGGATTTGAAAAAATGTCTTCGTTTTTTTATGCACACCTTGATAAATGGTTTCAGTTTTTTTTTCTGGCAACTTGTTGGTGCATATCTCTAGCACATAACTTTTCTAGTTCACTTGTCATGGAAGGGAATCTTGGAAAGGATATTAAACGTTGTGTTATTTGTACGCCTTACTTATAACAGGATACATAAAATAGTCAGTAAAAAGACAACAATATACTATAGCCATATGGAATCCACGCTCAGCATTCCACAAGAAACCGATCCACACCGCCGGCCATGCGTACAAAGACCACAACCAAACTAGCCTGAACTTAACACGTCACTCTATAGGAATCTGGGTTGTGGGGTGGGGCGGGTTCTGTGGCTAATCTTTTAATGTAACCCAAGTACCTGGGGTAAAGTACTGCATACCTGGGGTAAAGTACTGCATACCTGGGGTAAAGTACTGCATACCTGGGGTAAAGTACTGCATACCTGGGGTAAAGTAGTGCATACCTGGGGTAAAGTACTGCATACCTGGGGTAAAGTACTGCATACCTGGGGTAAAGTACTGCATACCTGGGGTAAAGTACTGCATACCTGGGGTAAAGTAGTGCATACCTGGCGTAAAGTAGTGCATACCTGGGGTAAAGTACTGCATACCTGGGATAAAGTACTGCATACCTGGGGTAAAGTACTGCATACCTGGGGTATAGTAGTGCATACCTGGGGTAAAGTACTACATACCTGGGACAAATTACTGCATAGTGCGGCTAGATGTGGGGTGGCTGGATTGTTTACCTACTAGGTGTTCGCCTGCTAGAGGCCTGCAGTTTAAAACAGTAGCAGGGACAAACACTCGTGCTATTCAAGCGGCGAGGGTGACCGCCCTTTAATCTGACCTGCTTACCGGCATCTGTGTACAATCATGGCGGCTGTTTACATTGGTTACTCCCTAGACGCTGATACTAACCACTTGGTATCTATTCGTTTCGTATCTATTAAGTTGTACTTCCGTATCCGGATAATTCGTATTGTCATTAACGGTGTTATAACGTTAGAGTTAGTGCTAGGGTCAGATGTTGGTTTCAATACTTTCATTTTGAGCTGATGCTAATTTAAAAAAATGCTTTAACTGCAATTCTTCTTGTAAATAACAAAATGGCAACTTTTTGTATATGTATATATATATATATATATATATATATATATATATATATATATATATATATATATATATATATATATATATATATATATATATATATATATATCGAGCAAGACTTGCCACACACCAAAGGACAAACACTTTGTTTATATTGCTTTACCCATTGATTTGCTCCATTTGCAGCATAAATTACTATTTATTAACTGGTTACCCCCTCCACTGTCTGAAAAACCAGGTCTATCAGAGAAACGTTAGTACAGAAGTTGGGAGATGTATTAGGGGTATGTGTGTGGGGGGGGGGGGGGTTAAACGTTATATATATATATATATATATATATATATATATATATATATATATATATATATATATATATATATATATATATATATATATATATATATATATATATATACAACAAACAAGACTTGCCACGCATCAACGGACAAACATATTGTTTATATTGGTTCACCCAGTGACTTGCTCCGTTTGCAGCATTAATTACTTTTTATTAACTCGTTACCCCCTCCACTGTCTGAAAAACCCGGTCTATCAGAAAAACGTTAGTACAGAAGGTGGGAGAAGTATTAGGGGTATATGGGGGGGATGGGGGTTAAACGCATGAAATGAAAAGGAAAGTCCCAGAAAGATAACAGAGTCATAGACGGGTAAGAAAGAAAATATTTTCCCAACAGGTAAAGCAGACAGCAGACTCTCTCGAGTCTGGACAACAATCAGACTTTTTAAACAGGGTGTTTCTAACTCCGACAGTGAAGATCTACAAACTTCCATTCTCCCTCGCTGTGGAGACGTACAAACATACCGCAGTGTTTTAAAATAATCATGACAATGGAGCCGCTGGGAGGGTGGGGGGGGGGGGAGATGCTGCACATTTATTTTCACAGAAGGGCGCATATATATATATATATATATATATATATATATATATATATATATATATATATATATATATATATATATATATATATATATATATATATATATATAGGCCTATATAAGATAGTTCTAGATAATTAAACGTAGAATATATCACACGGTTTATATTACTTTTGTCATTTCAGGCACATAACAACGTCTAAAGTCTATGCCTTGCGAAAATATACTATAGGCTCACTACTGTTATTTTTGTACTTTCCAGCACGTCGAGAATGTTTGACTTACCTCTCTTTACCTGTAGACAAAATCTATTTTCGTGTTACCTCCCCTTTGTGTCGTAGAGAGTTGTTGTGTGTAGATTATACAATGCTACAGGTCCACGTTACACGGACACTTTTCTACACACCTGCGTTACACGTCTACACGTCTTTGTAAAACCGCTACACATATTTGTAACACACTACACATTGCATAACACGGCTACAAGTTTTTGTAATACGTCTACACACCTTTAACACGGCTGTGTTACCCACCTGCGTTCTTGCGTCTACACGCACTCGTCAGTCGCCACTTCACACACCGATTTAGGATTAACGTTAAATTACACCTGACTGATTTAGGATTAACGTTAAAATTGCATCTGACTGAGTTAGGATTAACGTTAAAGTAACTTCTTAAGCTGTACTAACCCGTGATCTTTTTTAATCCTAGGTCCTCGTAAAACAACAGGTCACCAGTCTACGGGTCACCAACCCTCGGGTCACCAACCCACCTCCCCGCTCTACCCTCGACCTCACGACCCGGAAAATGAATCGCCTCCCATGAGTTCTTGCGTGAAAAAAGACGAGCACTCGGAATTCCTCCCAGCCAATCGCGTTGTTTCACCAGCAGACGATCCAATGACCTTGGGTCAAGCCCAGCCAATCGACACTGCAGCAGCCGCCACCAAAGGAAAAGAGAAAGCCTGGAAGGAAGCGGAGGATGCTGGGATGGGCACGAACGTGAACCCTGCTCGCAGGCTGCAACAGAACTTCCATCTAGACCTCGCCACAGGGGGCTTGACGGACGAGGCCGAGGACGAGGAGCAGAACCTTCTCGAGAGCCCGGGCTCAGGGCTCCACCGCATTTCGTCCGAATCGACTTTTCAGCAGAGTGACCTGGATTCGAACCGCCAGCACGACCCGTACAGGATGTTGGAGAGGTCACAGTCTGATGCCAGCCTGCTCAAGAGGGTGAGTCTAGTCAGTCGTTCAGAAGGTACTCACACCGGCCACTTCCGGTAGTGTATATATATATATATATATATATATATATATATATATATATATATATATATATATATATATATATATATATATATATATATATATATATATATATATATATATATATATATATATATATATATATATATATACACATATATATATATATATATATATATATATATATATATATATATATATATATATATATATATATATATATATATATATATATATATATATATATATATATATCAGGGGCGTAGCGAAGGGGGCGGGGGGGGGGCGGATCGCACCGGGTGACACCATTTAGGGGGGTGACACCAAGGCAAAAAATAGCAAAATATATAGAGAAAAACTTGAGGGGGGGTGCAAATCGAAAGTTTGAGGTGGGGGGGGGGGGTGCAAATCGTAAACTTGAGGGGGGATGCAAATCGAAAGTTTGAGGGGGCGGGGTGCAAAACGTAAACTTGAAAGTTTGTCCCCGGGAAGGGTCGCCACGCCTCTGGGAGGTGACACCATTAAGTGCCGCACTTATATATATATACAGAGTCGTAGCTAGGGGAGGTGGGTGGGGCGTCCGCCCTGGGCGGCGACACTAAGGGGGCGACAAACTTGGTAGGATAAAAAATAAATTACTGCGTTATGCACAAAGTTCAGGAAATGGACTATTACTTTCCTCTCCTGGTTGATTAACTATTATCTGCATCAATCTTGTGACATCACAATTAAAGCGCCCCCCCCCCACCCAAACCATTTCCCAGGGGGGGGGGGCGCTTTCTCGTCAACGAGAATAACTATTTTTATACCAGGAAGGGGTCGGAAATTTGATAGTTCGCCCCGGGCGCCGGAATGGGTCACTACGCCTCTGCATAAACATGCACATAAACATATACATACTCATATACATACACACATACATGCACATATACATACACACATACATGCACATATACATACACACATACATGCACATATACATACACATATACATGTGACCTCGCATTGATGACCTTCCCAGGACCTGGAGCTGCTGCCTGACAATGACGAGGTCCACCTGACGGCCGCCGAGTCCAGCAGTGTACAGAACATCAGCGAGTGTAACCGGGTCTACCTGGACCTGTCACGTGCTGAGGCTTTCGAGAGGGTGAGTACTCTCATCCGCCTGCTCACGTGCTCTATATTTAGATCCGAGTTATCAAGAGTCGGACCTTTATGACGTCATCTTTTATCAGTCTGTTCTTGTCTTCATTCCGCCTTAATTCACGACCATCTGTCTGTTTTCATCTGTCTTTTGTCTATTTTCTGTCTGTCTTTTGTCCGTCTGATGTTGTCTAAGTCGGCCTGCTATTAATGTTCATCAGTTATTCAGTCATTTCTTTTTGTCAGTATCTCAGTTCTGTAATAGTGTTCATATAAACAGGCTTTCTTTCTGATATTACTCTAAGGGTACAGGAAACACTTGTTAAAATATATATTTTCTATTTAATTTTTTTTTTAAATTTGTCCAGGGGGGGAGGGGTGTACGTGCTCCAGGGGAGTGCCCCCCCCCCCCTTTCCACTGGAAAAATGTCTGAAAGAAACAAGTTTCTATCAGAACTCTTGGGACAGAACAGTTTAGAACTTCTTGCCATGACCTTTGTTTATATGTTCTTGAACATCAGTTCAGCCTTCGTTAGTATCTTCAATATTATTTTAACTTTCCGTGTAATGACGTTTGTGTATGTTCTTGAACAATACTTGTTAGGACGTTTGTTCAGATTTTTCTTGAACAATAGTTTACCTTTACTTGTCAGGATCTTCGTTCAGATGTTCTTTAACAACATTGTAGCCTTGTGTTCCTTTCCACACACACCCCTACCCCTATGACTAGATGACGTATTTGCTGGGCATTTGTTGTCTTCCCTCAGAGTTACCGTCCCTGGCTAGCCGCCATGGCGCTGTACACTACATCCTTTGATCAGACACGTGTTTGGCTTGTACGAGTGGAATCTGAATGTGCTTGACCTAATTAGTAGGCTAACATTACTTTCCACTTAACCAAGCCTACGTTTGTGATTTGTGGTTGGGGGGGGGGGGGGTCATGATGGTTTTTGGCAGTAATGGAATTAATGAGGACTGTTGTTTCATTGTTTGTGCAGGTACACGTTGCATCTCTAGAAGAAGAAAAACACAATATATTTTTAGTTGTTTTTGTTCACTGTTTGCCAAAGTTTTCCTGACAGATTTTTTTTTTTGCTCCGTGTAAACAAATATTTTGATTGTTAAGTTTTGAAGATTAAAGAAAAAAATTGTGGATTAAAAAAATAAATTGATTATAAAAATTTAAAATAAAAACGCGAATTATTCATCTTGAATGTATTTGCTATTGTTTGATGTGTCACAACAAAAGGATGATGTGCTGGCACCTGACAAGGGCAATCACTGCTGCCTGCCCCATTTTGTACAGGTGTGTTCTACGTTGCATCATCACCTTTCATCAGAGGCGCCGACGTGAGATCAGATAGCTGTTGGCTGGGGTCTCTAATGTCGAGATTGTGTTTTCTGGGTTAGGTTGTGTTTTCTGGGTTAGGTTGTGTTTTCTGGGTTAGGTTGTTATGATTGTATGATTTACTTGTTAATTGGGGGGGGGGGGGAATCTTGGTCTTTTTTGACGTGTTACCATAGTGTTTTGGGGTGAGGGCTAACGTCGGCTACAACTCCGTGCCCGGATAGATTTATGTTAGAATGTCTTAACTCCCCCCCCCCCACACACACATATCAGATACTGCTATAAATGATGGTACATCTCACCCTATCATGTCTAATACACCTCTAACGAAGACGCCCTAACTTGTGCACTAAAGCCCCTAGTGTTATTCTCCCTTTGTGGATCCCATTAATGTATTTCCCCATCACCCACCTGTACCTCCGCCCATGGCTACCTTCACTAGACTACAACCGTTGATTTAGAGACGTCATAAACAGGCGAGGGGCGGGGCGGAAGTAAACAGGAGGTCATGACTCAAGGTCATCAAGTAGGTCACAGCACGTGCGCGGGTGTAGCGCGTGTTGAGGGTGAGCACACACGGTGTGTCGTGTGGAACAGTCTAGAACTCAGGCCACGGTTTGCTGACAAGAAATAGCGTGTGGCAGGAAGTGGTTGCGTCACTGGCTGTCAGGCTCGGTTGTTGAGGGAACAGTTACGTCCTTGTTGGAGGCCGATGATGGGTGGTCTGTCATAGAGGCAGCGGTCTGTCATAGGGATCTGTCATAAACTCAGGGATCTGTCACTGCACACGTTGGTCCGGCAGGATCTGTGATTCCTTAATTTGTCGTCCCTCAAGATTGACAGACCACCAGTTCTAAAACTGCCAGTACACACAAAGTGTTGAAGGTTCGGTTTTGAAATACGTGTAGGCGTGTGTAATCAAAACAAATGTAACTTGAGCACCCACACATAAATGAGCAGACGATATTCGGGCCTGGACAAGGTATATGGGCCAACATTTGAATCTGGACAAGGTATAGAGACTTTCTTCGTTCTACCCCCGCTACTGGCCTTCGTTTCACAATGGACGACTTCTGTGTAAGTTCGAGCTACTTTGTTTCATTGCTGCGTGTTTTTAGGTTATGTAATCACACAGAAGATTCGGGATTTTTGTTATGTGGATATATAGGCGTAGCTTGGTTAATACAATGATTAATTCCATGCTCCAAGAATGATCAAAACTGTGTTGTATATTGATCTTAAAACATTGGCTGTTAAAGATGAATTCAGGAACAACTTCGTGCTAATCTACACGTCAACAAACCAAACATTTTATGAACAAAATATCCAGTTGATGACTTGCTTTCACCCTAGAACAACAATTCACAAACTACACACTAACATCAGCACAGCTGCACAGCGGTGTTTATCAAAGTTTAGTCATGTGACTTACGTTTCCATAGGAATGAATGTACGTTGTTGAAAATTGTCTGAACCTGAAAACAACTCAGAAGTCATCTCCCAGCACCTGGTGTAGATCTAGATTCTAGCGAAAAATTCGGTCCGACTATACTTTGTTATTTGTTTGATATCTAGTTGCTGTTTGTTTGTCATGTAGTCGAAGTTGACCTATATCGAGCAATTTCTTTCAGGCATCTCTTTGGGGGGGGGGGTTAACTTAGGTCCTGGGCTACGTCCCACCCCCTCCTAGGAGAAAAATGTCTGATCGAACGTAGTTTAGGTTGTCTTCTTGCTCATTTTTTACTCACTTCTAGTTTAGATTTGATCTCAATCTCGTGGAGGTTATAATTTAACTAAATCCAAAATATTCCGTTAAAATTGGAAGGGCTTGACACATCTCATTGTTCGTTATTTTCATAAGGTTATAGTCTGTTTCATTCATTTTCTTCCTCTCCTTCTCATTACACTTGTTCGTATCTAATTAAAGTTATTATCGATACATTCGGTATCTTCTGTTTCATCAATTTTCTTCTTTCAGTACACATGCCCTTATGTTATTCAACTTATTATCCATATATTCGGTTTGTTAAAGAAGGTAATTCAGGAACTTGTTGAACATGACAGGTGGAGCTTGGCGAGACTTCCGGTTCCATGATGAGGACAGCTTCCGGTCGTCTGCTGGAGACCATCCCACAGGACGAAGAGCTCAAGACGGGCGACCTGAGCTACGTCTACGCCACGCATCGATCTTTTTCCCAGGAGAGTTCCTCAAGCATGGAGGACCTCACGTTCTGCTCCAAGGTAACATCCCTTGGTCCGGACTCCTAGGATGATTTTAAAATCCCGGGGGGGGGGGGGTGTTTTGAGATGGGTCCTGTAAAGCACAATTTATGTTTGAATTGCTAATATTTGTCATAAACATCTTTTAACCGTCAGAGATAATTGTGCACTATTTATTTTTTTTAAAATCTGGGTAGATAATTTATTAGACCTTTTTTAAAACAGGTAGGTATTTCATAAGATTTTCTTAAAGCTCTATTTCGATCATTTCTAAATGTAAATTGTTTAATTATTAATTATCATACAAAGGATAGATGAAAGTCAGATATTCCTAAATAAAAAGTGTAGATAATTTATAATATTATTTTATAACAGGATAGATAGAAATGAGTATCATTTTTTTTATAAACAATGGAAAATGGCTTATATGTAAACTATTTTGTGTATCTAAAGACTTCTAATTCTCTAAAACAATGTAAATAGCTATGCATTTTAGCAAAACATCAAGGGAGATAATTTCATATTATTTATCTTTTTTTAAAAAGACAGATAACACACTTAAAACTGTACAATAAAATCCAGGTAGTTAAAACATGATTGTGTAAACGAAGGGAGGTAACTTCTTATGTTTAGAGAAAAAGTAAGGTAGATAATTCATATGATGTGTAAACAAAGGGAGATAACTTCTTATTTTTAGAGCAAAAGCAAAGAAAAATTCAAAGCGTGTGGCAAGTCAGCCAGTGTCAGCAGTACATCTGTCAGTGACAGCAACAGCCTGAGTTCAAAGTCCAACCTGAGGTCCAGCTTTCAGATCTACTCACACTCTCTTAAACAGAAGGTCAGTGGAGCACACTGTAGGTCATTCACTCACTTAAATAGGTCAGTGACTCACACTGTAGGTCATTTACTCACTAAAATAGGTCAGTGACTCACACTGTAGGTCATTCACTCACTAAAATAGGTCAGTGACTTATACTGTAGGTCATTCACTCACTAAAATAGGTCAGTGGATCAAACTTTAGGTCATTCACTCACTAAAACAGAAGGTCAGTGACTCACACTGTAGGTCATTCACTCCCTTAAACAGAAAATAAGCAGCTCATACTGTAGGTAATTCACTCCTTTAAACAAAAGGCCAATGACTCTCAATCAGTATCTAGAACTCTCTTAATTTTAGCCAGCAAAGGCTAAAATATATAGGTCTCATCCACACTTCACTTAATAAGGCCTCAAGTCCAACTACAAATAAGCTCACTTGTGAATGAGTAAACTCTGTCATGTCTATAAGCTGTAAAGGTATTTTTCTAGATTCAAATGATACCACATTGTGAAAGTGCAGTCAGTCTCTCTAGGAGAATTTAGTCTGTTTATGCTGACAAAATGGCTTTCCTTAGGTACGACAGCTACAGATGGGTTCCATTCCAGAACAACTCAACGCTCTCACTGAATTAAACGTCCTCATGGAGCAGGCGTGGTCCATGCCCATATATGGTGTGTAGATTTTATAATGCCTTTCTCTTGTTCTATGATTTAAATAGAATACAATTCTACTACCGGAAAAATTGGAAAACAAAAATATACTTATATGAAAAAATAAATTATGGTTAAAGATTTTTTTCTGTAACCTATATTTTATTTGCTGCTTATTCTTTTCTTCCACTCTATGTAGGCAAAGACTTGGCTTATGAGTTGTGTGACATTCTGCGCACGGAGAGTGCGTTGGACATTATTGTCAGCAACTTGGCTTCCAGCAACAGGGAACTGATGAAAGCTAGTGCCAGACTACTGGAGCAGTCACTGACCACATCAAACAGGTACATTTTTTAATTTGAGTCTTGGTGCCGTATGGCTGGTCCAGTTGTGCAGTTTTTACTCTTTTTTTTAAAAAACTGCTTTCACATAATAAAGTGAAAGCTAGCTATACTATAACTAATGAGACAGCTATCTTAAGTTCATTCTATATAACATGTTTACACATTGACTAGGTTGTCGGTCTATTTCTTTGTGTATTCTAGTTTTTAAACAATGTAAAGTATCTTTGTAAATCTTATGGTATATGGAGCAGGTGAAGTAGAGTTCATCTGTTTCCATGACCTCAGCATATGAAGGGACAGTGTGGTCAACACTATGCCCAGCCACCTTTACTTATCTTAAACCCAGGGACTTCCTACAAACTTTTGGGTTAGCCGTCTACTGTTTTACCATTTGTCCCCTCAGAATGAGCTAAAGACAAAGCTAAGAATGTTGAGTAGGGCTCTTGTTTCTAAAAACGTTTGATTGAGTTGGTTTAATGTAAATCATATTGAGGTTTTTTATGTACTGTGTAAAGCATGTTGAGATTTTGTATATACTGTGTAGGTCATGTTGAGATTTTTATATACTGTATAAGTCATGTTGAGAATGTTATTTAAACTCTGTACACGGTTGTTTTTGCTGCAGGCGACAAGTGTCAGAGAATGGCCTTGAACTTGTGGTGAAGATGACCCATGATGCACGTGGAGACTGCGAGCTGGCCCAGACCTGCACCGGAATCCTGGAAAGTCTGTTCAAGACATCGGAAGACACCTGTGCCAAGGTGATCAAGCTCGGTGGCCTTGACACGATCACCTACTGGTGCAGGTGTAACGACCGGGTGACACTGAAAAACTGCGCCATCGCCCTGTCGAACCTGGCGCTGTACGGTGGGGGAGAGAACCAGCAGGAGATGGCCAAGCACAAAGTCCCAGAGTGGTTGTTCCCCCTGGCCTTTGTTGAGGATGACAGTGTGCGCTACTACGCGCTGCTGGCTATCGGTGTTCTTGTGTCCAATAAGGAGATTGAGAACGCTGTCATCAGCTCCGGAACCCTGGCCTTGGTCCTGCCTTTCATAGACTCGCACGACCCAGCGGAGTTTGCTGAGAGGGATATGTCACACCGGCACGGTCGCTCCCCTGGGTGGTTGAAGCGGTTAATTCCAGTCCTGTTTAGCAAAAGGGAAGAGGCGCAAGCTCTTGCTGCTTTTCATTTTGTCATGGAGGCAGGGATCAAATCAGAGCAAGGCAGGAAGGAGGTAATTAGTTTTATTGACATTTTTTTTAAAGAACCTTGTTTATGTTATTTAAATTATTCGTAAAATCACTCTATTTGCAAGGGGTCGGCGTGGTCGAGTCGGTAAAGCTCATGGTTGCTAAACCGAAAAGTCTCAAGTTAGAACCCTCGGGCAGATGAGGCTCGTTAGCTGGGGACAGCCACTCTTCTAGGAGAGACAACTCCAAAATTAAACAACTGCTGCCTTGTAGTTTGTTCTTGGTTGGACAAAGGCTATGGAAGCAAATCCAAAAAGAAAAGCAGGCTGAAATCGGAGTCAATGGCCTCAATGGCGCATAACCAGTTGACACGTAACGCTTAATTGTGTTGGAGGCGCGGTCGAGTCGGCAAAAAGCTCATGGTTGATACATTCGAACAAAGTCTCGAGTTCAAACCCACTGGCAGATAAATCTCGATCTCCCTCAACACTAATAATTAAGAACGAAGAAGAAGAAAGAAGAAGACTCTATTTGCAAATTTAAATATTTATTCAGTAAATTTACTGACAATAGTATTATTTTAATTACTGTACCTGATGGGAAGTATTTCTCTATTTTGTTTTAAAATGAGTTATCTTCATGAATGTAATGTTCCCCAGGTTTTGTATAAAATTGAGGCAGTAGAGCCACTGAAATGGCTGGCAAGTACACCAAATAGGGTGGCGTCAAAGTTGGCAGCACAGGCTTTGAAGATCATCGGAGAGGAAGTTCCCCACAAGTTGTCTCAACAAGTTCCCCTCTGGACCTGTGATGATGTTGTCCACTGGATAGCTCAGGTATGTCACATGTCCTTGCTCTTATCTTTTGAAAATCAACTATCTTTTTTTGTGATTTGTGACTCTCCACCATGGTTAATTCTTTTACATCTCTGGTTATTTCAAGATAAATCCAAATAGGTGGAGAATGTTGGTTATAAAAGTCCAAATTTTAGTTATTTCTAGTTGGTTATTTTTTTTTTAAAGCCTTACCTATAATGATTTTTTGTCTTTTTTTTATTTTTAAGTTTTGTGAAATAATTTTTTTTTCATCTGAATCATATTTTACAAAGAAAAATAGCCCAGGGTCAGACTTGTTTGTTGTCTGTTTCTTTAAAATGTGCACTGTTACAGTTAACATAAATAGTGCTTTAAGACTTATACAACACTGACATGTTCAAAACATTTATCATTTTTAAAACATTTTGACCTCTTATGCTATTTATCTATTTTGAACAAAGTTTAAGGTTTTATAGCTGAGATACAATATAAGGTTATGCTTACAATTTCAGGTGGGCTTCAGTTCCTACTCTGACAGTTTTCAAAGGTGTCAGGTTGATGGTGACCTGTTGCTTCGATTGACTGAAGAAGAGCTGATGGAAAGTATCAACATGACTTGTGCCATCACAAGGAAAAGGTAACTCTAAGGAACCTTTTTAGGCATGTTTTTTTTTTGTTTCTACCAAATTACTTCGATTTTTTAAAATTCCTGTTTTTCTGATCTGTACTAGCATGAAAATTCTAAAATATTATGCATTGTTCAAAGAAATTTATTCTTTGCTTGTTTTCAAACTCTCAATGGTGGAGACACCACCAAACTAACTGATTTAGCAACAGTTGATAGTTACTATTTTTTAAAACTCACTTACACAAATGCAGAATAAAATAAATTTTGGAACTTTTGTCACTTTGTCCTAAGTAGTACATTTTTTCTTATCTTGAACCTTCCTAAAATATGCTCTAGGTTTCTCCGTGAGCTGCGAGATCTCAAGATTTCCTCAGACTACACTTCCTGTGACCCAAGCATGCTGGGGGCATGGCTGCGTGATGTCAGCGAGGACATGTCACAATACACCTACCAAATGCTTTACACAGGAGTGGACCGCCCACTGCTGCGCTCAGTCAAGGATAGCCACCTGTCTCACGATTGTAAAATTGTCAATGGTATTCACAGAATGAAAATTTTATCCAAAATTGAAGGTAATGTTCCCTGTCTCTAAATACTTATAAAAATTCTTGGATTAGAACCAAATGGAGATAAGGATGTATTGGTATTTGTGCAACTTTCATAGAACAGTATACTTTGGATTAAGTAAACATTTTACTTCGCATAGTTAACTGTGTTCAGACAATATTTTAACTCAAGAATGTATATACAGGTGCTAGTTTTTTTTTACTTCCTAAATAATAGTTTTTATAGTGATTTACAGTACCATAAATTTAGAGTAGAAATATTTCCTACTTGATGATCAAATTGTAATTTGAAATAAACTAATTTTTTACATTTTATTATTAAACCTGGTTCAACTAACTAGACTTTGGGATCTTAACTTTGACTAAAAACTTTAACTACTAAATTTTATATTAACTTTTTCTTTCAGCGTACCCACATTGTCTGTTTTTCCATACAGTAAAATACAATATCCAAAGCCACCCTCATAATATATTTCTCTCTCCCCACAGAACTAAGATCCACCCTAACAAGTCCAGCCTCTGCCCCGTATGACAGTGTTGATGCTTTGAGTTCCTCAGGTGTCCACAAACCCCCCATTGATGTATTTATTAGTTACAGGCGCTCTAACGGTTCCCAGCTAGCCAGGTTAGACATTCTTCTACTTTCACTTTAACATACAATAGTGAGATTTAAAATCTTTACATGCAGACCACATTGAAGGCTTTATGATTTGTGCTTGTTTTGCTTTTTAATTTTTGAACTGCTCAGACTGTCATGTCTGAAATTAATTCCCCCCATTCCATCTCTCAGTTTGTTAAGTAAGATATCCAGAAATGTTTGTCTAAAGGAGTACTACATTTAAGTTGGTGTAAGTACCGGAATGTGTACTTAGTCTCTTGGTTGTTTTTTTTTTTACTGTAGTCTCTCTTATTTTCATGTTTGATAGAAGTTGATCTGTCTTTTAGACTTAGTATTTCTAAAGCCACAACTGTGGATTGTGGCCCCTCGACACTGTTGTGTGAATGTTTGCAACTTCTTGGGTAGAAATGTGGTCCGCTTGTAAAGTTTAGAAATTTAATAGACATCTCAAAATGTATTTTTAAAATGTATTTAAAATTTGGACCAAATAAATTAGGTCCATTAAGCATCGTGCCTTAATTTAACCTAGTCTTACCTTTGTAATTATCTCTTCCTATATAGGCCTATAGTTTCAACATTATATTTTACTCTAGCCTGTGAAACACTACAAAACTAAAATTATGTGATAATAAATCAAGCTGTATTAATAGTGCAATATGCTTTAGTTCAAGAGTTAGAGTAAATGTCTCAGACATTCTACTTTGAGAAAGTTAATCTCTGATTTCACTCAACCTAAACAGTGTGTGCCATGAAAATTTAAATAGCATGAGGAACTTTAAATTTATTCTTTGTTTGAAAACAATTAGTACATTTTAAAACTATAGTCTTATATGGTTATATTATAATGATCATACGTTAACTTGGAGTGGGGTCCATTAAAAATTTAATGATTGAAAAATTTAAATTTTTATAGTCTTCCAGTACTGTTACAATTATACAGAAACTCCTTCCTCACAAACACATACTCAAGTTGTCAACAGTTTTTTGCCCCATTTACTAAAGTTATCACAGATTTCAACAACCATAATATATTATCATTGGCCCCATAAACCAAAATTATCATTTACTTTGAAGACCCCATGACCATTGGTGACCAATAGTGACTTGCCTTGCTTGAACCCACCTATTTTTTTCCTAGTATTTATACACCTTTTTTAGTTATAATGAAAAATTGCATGAAATGTTGTCTCTTTTCTATGCCACCAGCCTCTCCCCTCCTTACACATCCACTAGATGTATATGCCTACACTGTCCACCCCATCTTTAGCAGTCCGTGAGAAAATGAACTCTACCCATACACCTGTTTGGTTGCTTAAAAACCAAAAAAGTTATCTAAAAACAAATATTAACAATTATTTCTTTGAAAAACCTGTAGCTGCTTGAAGTATCTGTTATAAAAATAATGATAAAACTTTTTGTAAAAGAAAAGCTTTTTTTTGTACAACCATAATGCAAAATCTTTTTTAATCATTACAGCTAATGCATATTTTATTTATAATGAACCAACAGCCTTTTAACTTTTCTTACACTAGATGCAATATATAAGACCATAGATCCAAAATTATTTTTACAATTACTTTTAAGCTTTGATAACTTAGGCAAAGCATCTTACAGAAATAACAGCTTGCTGTGTTCATTTAAAAATTATAATATTGTTTTAATACATACTTATTAATTTCACAAATCACATATTTTATAAAATTTTATACTGTAGAATAATCAGTAAAAAATGTGTTTGTTTGTTCCACAGTTTGTTAAAAGTTCACCTTCAGCTGCGTGGTTTCACTGTTTTCATCGACATAGAGAGATTGCGTGCTGGCAAGTTTGATGAGAGTTTGTTAGAGAGTGTCAAGCAGGCCAAGAACTTCATCATTGTACTCACCCCCAACTCATTAGATAGATGCATGGGAGACACAGAGAAGAAGGACTGGGTACACAGGGTAAGGTTGGAGGGGAGAATTTCAATTATGAGTTGAAAGCACTTGATTGATCTTTTAAGTGTTTTGAAAAATAAAAATAGTTTCAAGGGAGGAAACTCTATGTGGAGTATTTAGGTGTAATCCATACTGTTGAAATCTAAGCTTGTTCTGTCTGCCTTATCTTGAGTATTTCCCAGACTAAATACACCTTGCTTATAAAAATAATCCCCACTTAATGATAAGAAATTATTTCGCAATTTTTAGTTCAAGATAGAGGCTCTAAAAAGAAAACTAGAAGCTTTGAAATTTTAATACCTTGATATACAAAATTAAATTATGTATAAAATAAGCAAGGATTTAAACTTAAATATAACACTGTTGAAGGCAGTCTTAAAGACTTGTGTATTTTTTAAAACTCCATTTTAGACTTGATGCTTACTTTATAAACACATGTAAAAAATTAAGTAGCAGCCATTTTGTTTTCTTCTGTGTAGGAGATAACAGCAGCTATTGAGGCAGGTAGTAACATCATACCTTTACTGGACAACTTCAAGTGGCCAGCACCTGACTCCCTACCAGAAGATATGAGAAATGTGTGTTACTTTAATGCAGTCAGGTATGATCATAGATCTGAATATATATTATTCTACTAAAAAAATTGCTCTTGTCAGATATTGGTCTTTTAAATTTAAAAAGTATTTTGATCAAACTCTGATTTTTTTTAAAATAGCCCCTACAAAAAAATAATTTAAAAAAAAAATCAACTTTGTTTATTAAAAACTAACATGTGGTTTTCTAAATATAAAGGACTGAATTTTGATTTTAAAATAAAATTAGGAACAAAAAACAATTTTTTAACTGTGTCAGCCATATTTTATGAAAAATTGAAGTGCCTTTTAGATCAAACCTTGATTTAAAATAAAATAATTTTTTTGAAAATATAATAAGAAGTTTTAAAAATCTGTTTTACTTCACTTGATTAAAAATAAAGTTACTTTTTTTTAAACACACCCTAAAAGCTTTTTGAATTAAAATGCTTTATTGTCTTCTCAGATGGATCCACGACTATCAGGATGCATGTGTTGACAAGCTAGAGCAGTTCCTCCGAGGGGAGGTCAACCCACAACAGAGAGTTCCAGCAGGTCCCTCAAGTACCCACAGTAGCAATAATACAACATCAGTTCCCAGACAGTCCACAACAGCATTTGAGAGTCCCAACTCACCTCCCTACCAACGGGCTCAGGGCTTAAGTAAAACTGCCTCCATAGACAGCCCTGGGGAGTCTTGACCTTTCACCTTGTTGAACCTGACATTATTTATAAAGAGTTGACTCCATATATGAAGTAAAATGTGATCATTCCTGAAGTTTTTGGCTTTGGTGGTAGAAACATTGGCTGCTTTAAATCCACAGACACATATCATTTTAATATGTCAAATAAGTTAAGGTGTCCAACTACTGAACTCAGTCTTGTTGTATAAACTTCAACAAAAACAGTAGACTTGACATCATTAGTAGGCTGCAGCAATGGTGTCTTGGGGGGGGGGGGGGGGTGTCACCCCCTCCTAGTGACACCACTGGACTTTAAGTATATTAGTTGAATTATATAAAGCTAAAATCCTTATTGATAAACTCAATACAATTTGTACCTGGATGGTATAATTTTAAATTTAAACAATCTTTGAATCTCCTATCACAAAGATTATTTTTGTTGCCGAACTAGTTTCAAAATTGCATGGTTAAGCCTAGATTAGCATGTTGATTGGGATAAGTAAACTTGTAAAACAAAAACTACAAAAATAAAATATTAAATTATGTGTATTCCACCAGGCAATAATTTGTGCAACCCTAAACCAATCATAATAGAAAACACTTGTAAAGAGCACCATAGTGGTCCTCTCTAGGACACACAAAAGCCTGCCTCATCTAGTCAGTAACACCAGGTACATCCAGCACACAGATTTATGTTGTTGCTATATTTTCTGTTACACTACTCCATCAACTTGCTGTTTAAATTAATCATCTTTGCTTGCTCTAAGGCTATAATTTGTTCTGTTGTGTAAGCAGATATTTATTATTCCTACATATCTTAACATTAGCTAAGATATGTGAATATATAATTATATATATGTATATATATATATATATATATATATATATATATATATATATATATATATATATATATATATATATATATATATATATATATATATAAAACTTTTTTAAATGATATGTACAACAACATTACCAGGTTTTTATTCAAAAACTGTATTTATGGTAAACATAATATGCAGTGTATTACGCAAAGGTCATCATGACATAATTTTTTAAACAATGCATCATCAACCCTTATTTACAATTTGCCAACTTAAATAAAGGTATTGCAATAACCAAGCAATTTCTGGCTAATAATACTCAACTTGTGCAAAACTGATAAAGGGTCTAATCATTAAAAGTGGACCCAACAATTTATTTTATCACAAAAATTAACCAATAAAAATTGAGCCCTTTGTTTCATAAATAAAAATTATTTAACAATTAGAAATTTAGCTGACCTTTCTATCACTGGTGGAAAAAATGTGTAGACTTGTGTGTATGTGATAAATTTATAAATTGGACCATAGAGACAAGTTTGCTGTTTCTTTCATCGAGTATCAAAATATGGAATATTAATTCACAGCAAAGAAAAAATTAAATGAATTAATTTCCAACTGCCTCATTATTATTATTATATATGTTTTTAATTTCTTAATTATAATTTTACTATTATTTTTACTGTTATTATAAAGTTATCTCTACATCGCTTGCATGTATACATTTGACTTTAAAAATGTGGATTTTTGTGTGGTTAAAAATGAAAAATTGACACATAAACATGTGCTTACTTGGTGAATGGAACATTTGGGGGAAGATGATTTTCAAATAAAATCATGAACTGATTTTGTATGGATCATATTTCATGGTCTGTGGTGTCTATCTAAAGTAAAATAAAAATGACAGGCAGTATTCGGGATGAAAATGTGGGAAAAGTCCAAAGTGGAGGAAATTCCATTCATCAAAATGAACATACCAGTCACTGTTCATTTGTTATTTACTCACTCTATTTACAGTACATGAATGACATTAACTTTTCTAAATAGTATTGTCATATTCAAATATTAGTGGATTTTGTCAGATTTAGTGTCACTTTACATAATGAATGTCAGTTAATTAAATTCCCCTCCCTTTTTTCCATATTTTCCACAGTAACAGGAAGTGGAATATAGATCTATGTTTATCATCATATTCTATGAAATAAGGTTATATATTTCTGATGTAAAGGTGTTTACCGTCTAGTTATTTAAACAATGTGTTTGACTATTTGCTATTTAAAAACAGCCTTTTTACATCATCACATGTTTATTGTATGACTAGGTTCCTCTGGATGGTCATGTGACTTGTCACCAGTACATTGGATAGGTCATTAGTCAATCAGAAACATAATCAGATACCTGTATATAATATTTGCATGTCTGTTCTGGTTCATACATGTATGTTTGTATATACATCATATAAGTTTGTATGTTTAAGGAAATGAGAAAATTTGCATGATGTGTATGTTGGAATTTATGACAGTAAGTTATTGAATAAATTGTTCTTCAGTTCTTGCTTGTTTTTGTCATATTTTCTAACAGTTTATAATACATTTTATCTTTTTTTCAAACATCAACCCATTTATTGATATTGTGTGTTTGTTTTTGTTAATGATCAAATGTTCTAAATTAAATTCTACTTGAGCTATTTCTTTCAAACTTTGCACCTAATGTATGGTATATGACAATGCAATAGTATGCAAAAAAAATAATTTCAATCTAATATTTTAAAAATCACCAATCGTGCATTTTAAGTCACTCAACCTTGTTTTTAAAAGAATAAAACTGATATATTTAAATGTAAGCAAAGCAGCCGCTTTATTTCTTAGATTTAGTTGTTGGTGAGCAGGTTTGTCCACAGTAGCTGCCAAAGAACATGATGTATGAAAGCCTTGAGTATAGCCTACATTAATCACCCATCAAAGACACTAACACATGGGCGCCGACTACATGCAGAGGCGTAGCGACCCTTCCCGGCGCCCGGGGACATACTTCCAATTTGGCGCCCCCTCGAGAGCAAATTTTCGATTTGCACCCCCCCCCCCTCGAACTTTTCATTTGCACCCCCCCCCTCGAACTTTTCATTTGCACCCCCCCCTCAAACTTTCGATTTGCACCCCCCCTCAAACTTTCGATTTGCACCCCCCCCTCAAACTTTCAATTTGGCGCCCCCCCTAAGGTCGGCGCCCGGGGACATATGTCCCCCCCCCGCCCCCCCCTCGCTACGCTACTGACTACATGTCCCTACTGTACGCTGCTCCTTAAAACAAATGTATACGCCATGGTGCTCGCGGAGGAGCTCAGATTTTTGCAGGTCACTTGACAACCTGAGCGCCAACGGACACTACTCATTTGATTTAGTCAACGATTATAGTAGCCCACCATATTCATAGGGATGGAGTCGCCTAGAGCTCGACTGCTAACCCGTAAGTCTCGAGTTCGAATCCGGGTTCAAGTCCGTAGACCGTCAGTGAGTCCACCCAGCTCTAATAGGCACCTGACTCACGTTATGGAAAGTGCTGACCACACTATCTCTTCACATGTCAAGGCCACAGAAACAGATGAACTCTACTTCACTTGCCCCATAGATCGTCAGGTTTGGAAGGGGAACTTTTACTTTTACAGTATTCATAGTGTATTGTACAGTTTAAAACGAACATAAATGCCTTATTAGTACTTACGTAAACTTGCTAACTATAGAGAATACAATGTTACACCCAGCTGTCCCATTAACCGACTGTTGATAAACATCATTACTTTATTAAGTGTGCACATTTTAAAGCTAACACCTTGGTAGAGGTGTGGTGGTGACACCAGTTGCAAAAGCTACAGAGGGGAAAACGTTTGTTGAATATTTTCAGTAACTGATATATATTACGTCAATTAGTGAAAGGGGCGGGTCTGACATACGTCTAATAATCCCTATGAAAACAATTCATTTTCCACTTGAATTAATAGGTGGATTTTAAAATATATAAAGATAAAGTGTGCACAAAATGTGATAGATGTGCGTGGGGGGGGGGGGGGGGGCGGGGGTGACAAAAAAGCCTGACAAATTTTGGACGGTCCCACGTCATGCTCTCACCAACCCTGCTTAGATTTTCAATTATGCTTATTTGGTGCATGAATAGTAGGCCTATATATTATATATGGATCTAGATTTGATCAGTGTTTCTCTCAGGCATCACTCCGGTAGGGGGGGGGAGGAGCAACAAATTAGAATTTACATAGAAAATAAAAAAATAAAAATTCTTTTACCAGTGCCGCCCCCCTCCGGCCTCCCCCGGGGAAAAAAGTCTGGGAAAAAACACTGGATTTAATTAGAACGAGATCGAATCTATATTCTAGATCTACATATACAATATATTTTTTGAAACTTTATTTTCTTTTACAAGATCCATTAAGTCTAAACTAACAGAAAATGAATATTATAATCTTAATCCTAGGTTAGCCTAGTCTTAGATATGAAAATGATGCATTTGAACTGTCTACATTCCGAATGCCAATTTTTATATGAACCTGCGCAATATACTTGCGCGAATCATTTTCATCATCATTATTTTAAAATTTTGGATACGGAACATATTGAACTTACGATTGATTGGATAAGCTAAAAAATCATTGTGAAATATTTTTTTTATTTATGAAAAATATTTCGGTGAGTCATGTTTGTAACTTGCTCATATTGTTGATGTGCAATCATTTTGGAATTGTGGAAATAGGCGTGGTGATTAATAAATATTAAATAGGCTTAGAAGTCTAGAACTTGAAATAAATAATAAAATCTTGATTCAAGCAAACAAGCACAAGAGTCAGAGTGAGAACCAGAGATTCAGAGATCTAGACTCTAGTTCTAGATCTAGAATTCAGATCTAGATCTTCTAGATCTATTTACTAGATTAACTAGATCTACATCTGGATAGATCTAGAAAAGAACTAGATCTATGATTAAAATCAGATTAATGATTACGAAGTGTCTACTCGGAATAAGATTTTTCGGCAAAAGATAGTTCTGCGCATGCGCAGTGACCTATGGCTAGGGTTAGGGCTAGAATGAGGGTTAGGGGTAGGATTAGGGATAGGGTTAGGGATAGGATTAGGGATAGGATTAGGGTTAGGGATAGGATTAGGGATAGGGTTAAGGATAGGATTAGGGTTGGTATTAGGGTTCTGCGGTTGTAAACACACGCATGCGCAGTACCATCGAAAACATCGCCGCTAAGTCGTAGTTTCTCTCCATTGCGCATGCGTATCTTATTCCGACTAGAATCGGCCTAATGATTAATGGACAAGCGAGAAGGTATTTGACTCAGTATTCGAGAGGCCCATTACATTCGGCCTAATTAGTAATTAATTAATTTAAAAATCATGCACGGCGTAGTTACAATTGATATAGTTATAAAATCCTGTCGGTCTGGTTTTTTTCGGACTCTACTAAAGATTGGATGTAGACTAGGCCTATTTGATGTTTTTAATATTTTCTGTAGGCCTACTGTAACTAAATAAAAATTTTAAAAAAGCAAAAATAATTTGGTTTTCTTGTGTAATGGCGACATAAACAATGGCATCCTGCTATTCGATAGTCTGCCATAAATTTTATTGTACACATTGTAAGCTAAAAAAGAAAAACTACTAAACTAGGTCATGGGGTTTAAATTTGCATTGTAATTTTGAGGTGTGTCCTTTCACAGTCGACTGTGAATAGCTGTATTAAGGCTATTCACAATCGTGACCGTTTTTACTAGATTTAATGTTTAAAATACGATAAATGGTATGAAGAAGTGTGGTCGAGCGGACATGGGGAGTGGCTGTCGTGCCTGAAGATGCGGGTTCTAACCCATCAGATGCATTATCATTACGACTCTAAATGTATGCCACTTATAATCATAATACTTTTTCCCAGTTACTCATGGAAGGGTTACCTTTTTTTTTTTTTCTTTTGTGACGTAATTGTTGGCATATCAGCAAAAAAACAAAAAAAAAAGACCTGTCCCGTAGTTTTTCGCTAAGAGAAAAAACACAGAACTGTGATGGAAACTGAATTATAGCTGATGGAAAAGGACATCCTATTTCACCTGATATTTATTCTATGTGAATTTTTAATGGTAATTGATAGTTGAATAGCAATGTGAACAACCAACCAAATTGATGCTTAATTAGTATTATTTATTTAAAAATCACTAGATCTATTAGTCTAGTATAGATTTAGAGTGCATAATTGATCATCTATGACCTACATTAGTACATAGCCTGTAGGAGATGTCTGATATGAGCCTAAAAGCTAAACTAAACTTTAACCGTAATAACTTTTTTATAAAAAAAAATAACACAATAAAAATAGTACAGCTCTCTTAATAGGCCTAAATGCTTTTATTATTGTAAGATATTATTCCCAGTCGTATTTAGCATGAAATGACAGACGTCTGAAAAGCCGTATTGGGGCTATTCACAGTCGGCTGGGAATAGCCTTGGCCTTGTTATTTAAAAACTTTATCTGCAAAGTTTTGTAAACAAATAATTATCGATCACGGAGTTCCTGTACAGCCAATCAATATGTGTCTTCCGAAAGTGAAACATCTGGTTATAACTTAGGCTTGATGAAAAAATTAGAAATGTAGCCTTAAACTCGGCAAATTATTTTCAAGTTCTCTGGATTTGCAACTTTAATAGCATTTATTATAAAAGTATAAAATTTGTAAATTTTAGGCTTAGGTTTTTATTTTTTTATTATTTTACGGTCTAAATCTAAAAAAGCATGTTTTTATTCCATGTCAACAACATTATTGAAGGATTCTGTTCAACTCGCTCACGTCCATTTTGTTTAGTTAGGGGCCTACTAGATCTAGATTTTAAATTAGATTTAGAATTCCAGGGCCTAGTTTAGATCTAGATGATCTATTTCTATTTAGAAAATTTTAATGTAGGCTGAATTTTAGAACTCTTCTTTGTCTTACTGTCTTACATAACAGTGACAACACACTAGATCTAGTCTAGTCCAGCGGTTAAAAAGGTTAAGAGTTTTTTAAACTTTTGTTTTTGAGTCAAATAATTTGAGGTACACCAGCTTCCTTTGCACATTCTTTGAACTTTTCTTATAATCTTAGCAATAGCTAAAATACAAGTTGCTAATAACACCGTCAAACCTAAGCTTAAAATTTAAAATATAATTTTCACACGAAAACATAGGCCTAATGAATCTAGAGTAAAATATAGCGTACTGTCAAACCACTGCTATGATCACTTTCCTGTTTTTCGCTCAATATAGTAGGCCTAATAATTGTTTGGATGTTTTAAACTAAACTACCACTATCTGCTGTACATATGTCCATTTCTAAACACACCCAGGCCAAATTCTTTGGTTTTCTCCTTCTGGAAGACAAGTTTTAAATTTTCAAAGTTTCGAGGTACATCGTCGTATAGGTAAATACTACAGGCTGTAAAAACAATCGTAGATGAGAAATTGGGGTGGCTGCAGCTGAGGTATCAAGTCTAGAATCTAGGCCTATGTATTTTCTAAATTTGTCTGCTGTTTGAAATTATTTTCGATCATCTACTTCTTCTAGATCTATTTTCCCACGTTTTCTTTAACTTGCTTTCTCTATTTGTTTATTTGTCTTTCCAATCAAATCTTGCGATCGAAATTTCTGGCACTTCCCAGTTAGCTAGCGCGCTGAAATTTTCAGGGAAGCTTTCTTTTGGATGACCATAGAATATGCAATTGTTATTATTACTAAATTGATCAATGGAAACATTTTATTGAGCATTTTAGACCGCTATATAATCTATATATATAATTCTCCTCTGCGAGCCATTAGAAAAAAAACCAGCGACGCGTAGCTCGCGTGCAGTGAAGCGAACGATTCCACGACGCGACAGGCTTAGGGGCAGATAATTTAGTTTGAACCGACTTAAAACTTACAGGAGGTAGGCCAGTTTGGGGGAGATGATATGGTCGAGTGGTTGGGCACACGATTGCTATCCCACTCGACACGGGTTCAAATCTATGTGTTCTAGTCAGTAACGTATTCACACGTGTTTTTTACGAGTTGTCTTTTTACGAGTTGTCTTCGTTTACCCAAAAAAAGTGAAAAGATTAAATCGATAGCAAGATTTTAATGCAAACAAACAGACAAAGACTAAAAAGTAGAAAATAATAATCATTAAAAAAGTTTTTAAAAACCCACGTTTTCTGATTGAACTAAAAAGTAGAAAATAAACGCTATACATCACAATAATGCAAGCAATCACTCTACTATAAGCGATCAAAAACGTGGGGCGCCGTGATTTTCTTACAGTTTCTAATACTGTTGACTCTCTACAAGCTCCCTAATAAAAGTCGATAGTATTATCTAATCAATAGAAATATAACTTTTACTTCGGCGCCCCACGTTTTTCATCGCTTATAGTAGAGTGATCGCTTGCATTATTGTGATGTATAGCGTTTATTTTCTACTTTTTAGTTCAATCAGAAAACGTGGGTTTTTTAAAACTTTTTTAATGATTATTATTGTATTTCTACATACAAACATGACCAAACAACCAGTAAAAAAAATTCTCTAATGTACATAGCCCTGAAATTGTTAATGCTGCCATCACCAGCATAAAATCCAAAAATTTCTTTATAGGGCCTAGTTTAATAATAGTTTATACATTTATAACATCTACCATATTATTTTCAACAAAAGTCCGTATCTTTTAGTTCTCCACAAAGCTCTGAACATACTGATCACAACACCTCAAAAATGTTGCGGACAGAGAGAGAGAAGTGCGCACATGGGTTTTTATATATTAGGATGTTATCTTTTATTAATAGGAAAATCCATTTTTAAACTGAAAATTAAATTCATTCATCATTCTGTTATCAAAGCTTAAAAAACAGGGCACTAAAAAGTTTTCCCCGTTTAAAAATTTTTTTAATAGGATGAAAAATATTTTTTATACCAGTGAGTAAAGTAATACCTGTAATCCTATTATTCTGATATGAGTTTAGTCAGCAATAATTTCCTAATCCTTGTTGTGTATAATATTTTGTTACTAGGTCAAATGCAGTTTATTTTCAATGATAAATTTAGAGATGACTGCCAGCGAGGCATTCAGAAATAAATTTAACAATTCACAATAACTTTCTTAAAAACGTACTTAAATTGGTGGAAATAATAAAGGTAATTATGCTATTTTAATTGGTAATGATGTAATAATTACTAAGTTGTTTATTTAGCTCTGTATATAGGCCTATCTTTTCAACATTCAAGAATCAGAAATACTTAGTTTTGCAATCCTGTCTGTCAGTGTGTTTCTGTATAAACATAATAACTTGAGCCCTGTTTCAGTTATATTCATGACATTTCATGCTCAAGTATTATATTGAATTTGTAGTTTTTGATCAACTTTTGGGCAATTTGAATAGTGTTTTGGCTGGACAAAATTTTATACATAGGTATAATATCATATTCACTGATTGCTATCACATTTTGAGTGGTTTCTGATGACCAGAAGCAGTACTTCCTCAATTAAAGCTATTCAGTTTTTCCTTTATAAAGTAATATTTTTGCTCGCACTGTTTGCGCTCATTGTTCATTTGGTACGCAATATAATTTTGTATGCGATTCTGTTAAAATAAAAAAATGTAAATATTGGACAAATTAACAAAAACATTTCTATTGTCCGATTGGAAGTGCCACCTCCCCCCCCCCTCTACTGTTATATAAGAATACAAGAAAGTTTAGGGGAGATCACTCCAGTTTTATTTATATCAGGTCTAATTTCAGCCATTATTTTGTGGCTTCAAAAATCAAGGTACATTAGATTCAACAAAAAAAAAGTACTTCGACTAGAATTAGAAAAGTTGATGTAAAAACTTACTTGAACCAATGCATGAAAAGTTGGCTGGTTTGCTACCTGGTAACTAGAGTAGTGTGTAGTATAATAAGAATTTCTTCTAATGTTTTTATGGGGGTTTGGAACTTACAGGGGAGAGCAGAAGTCCTAGTTTGTCTTTGATCTCTTCCCTGCTAGGCAATAAGGGTCATAAATGACATAACAAATCATCTGCTTGGCTGAGATCAAACTGCAGCCTGTGGTTGTTGCCTCAAAAAGGGATCTGTCATTTTAGGGAGTGTTGTGTATGCTGCTAGTTGGTTCTTGTCCTACTTTCCCTGGTATACCACTTTACCCTAACTAAGACAAATCATGGTTAATGAAAAGGCAGCAAATAATTTGTTTCATATTTTCATTAAAAGAAAGTCCAACTCCCCACTTTTCAAATGACAAAATTCCACTCAACCCCCTCACCAAGTGGCTTGATGTCAGACCTGTTTGTACTAACTTGTGTTTGGTCTATAGACCATAAGAGTCACACATGACTTCATCTCAATCATAGGCTTGGCTTAGTGGATCAAAGAACATCAATTTTTTATACTTAACAGAGATTAGTACTTGTATGATTATGAAGTATCTTGGGCAGGTGTTTTTTTCTTATTACCACTTGATCATTAAAACCCCCATTTTTGTAATGGATCATCTTATTTATCAGCTATCCCTTCACTGTATTTTTATACCTAAGTATTGTCTCTTAAACCTCTCACTAGACCTTAATTAAATTTAATGCCAAGTAGGCCTATTCAAGTATTTGTTCTTCAGAATAAAAGTTAACACTAGTGTTTATTAACACACTAGTATTATTTTATTTTTTGGGAGAAACCCTTGGATGTCCCCATTTGTTTTCTAGCCATCACAATAATAGGACAGGACACATTACTTTCTTTTGTGAAAACTAATCGCGGTTGAAACCAGGTTTATTTTTCTTTCAAACAAAAGTTTCTTTGTTTAGCTCAGCTTGAAGTGGACACGGGCTAGGCAGGTATTTGTTGAGAACAGGGAAGAAAGTAAAGATGTGCTCATCAACCACATCTGATATTTAATTGGGCAATATTTGAGCATCAAAGTGCTTCTTAAAGCACACCAAGGATCATTTTGTCCCATTGTTTCCTGTGGCACATCTCTCAGGGGCCTGGCTTACAGTCATCCTGGTTTTAAGGTTGTGCATGCAGGGATTAGTTATAACTTACACTACCATGTTTGTTTTCAGGTTTATTCTAAGCTTGTTTATTTTCTTAAAAAAATATTTACCAGTTTCTTTTTTTTTTCTATTTTTAGAGAGACGTAATGTAAAGCCCATGTTGTGTCTCCTGCAGTGTCTATGGTGCAATGTCTCTAGAGGTTGTACAACCTTCTGCAGGCCAGGCTCTCACCAACTGTCACCTCTAGCACTACTTTCCTGGGACAGTTTATCAGGCAAGTTCATATTTAGCTTACAAAATAGGGGATAAAATTATCTGGCTATTCACAGTTTATTGACCAGGGACAGTAATTTACAAGTTTGCTAGATTGGTCATCCAGAATTAACAAAAAATCTTGTCAGAAGTCGAAAATATAGTCTTAGCTATTTATTTTAAAACTTTTTCAGGCTTTTGACATATTTAATTATTATATTTATTCTGTGATAAAGACATAGCCCACAATTTAAAGAAACATACAATACAATTACAATTTCCAAATCATAATAGTTGTTCTTTTATAATAACAGCACACAATTCATAGCAATCTTCATTTCATAGTGATCATATTTCACCATTTAGTATTTAAGTTATTCAGTTTACAAGTGTGTTTGTTTACCTAATGAGTTGAGTTATTCAGTTTACAAGTGTGTTTGTTTACCTAATGAGTTGAGTTATTCAGTTTACAAGTGTGTTTGTTTACCTAATGAGTTGAGTTATTCAGTTTACAAGTGTGTTTGTTTACCTAATGAGTTGAACAGCTATTTGCGGGGAGTTTATTTTAAAATTAAAAAAACGCAGTAAATGGGGTTACCTGTGTCAAAGGTGAATTGTCTGCCCCTGTGTGGCCCTCCTGTTTGAAGCATTTGTATGACAAGTTGTTTGAGATATAAATGGCATCAATGTCATGCAGGCTGGTGTCATGCACATAATTTGGGACCATGAAATAACATACGGCAGGGAATGTTTGCAGTTGACAATCATAAAGAATGCACATGTTTAATCATAACATTTTTATGTTTGTTTGCCTAAACCCGAACAAAATCATTCTTGTTAATCTTAAAATGGTTGAAAGTCATTCTAACCCTGTTATACACTTATAGTTTAAGATAAGAGTTTTTTTTTTAAATTATATATTTAACTTCAATAAATTAAATGATTTTATAGAAAAAGTATTCAATTTAGTCTTAGAACATAAGTTTTAAAAATTGTAAGATCTTAAAATTAATCTACATAAATCTTAGTTAATTCTAACAAATGCTTCAAAGGAAGAAAAAAGAAAATAATTATCTATAGCTTTATGACATAGTTTTTGTATGTAGAAATAATACTGTCTACATATGAAATACATAAATATATGCTTCTTGAGAACACTTAGGAAATAGGAAAATATAACCCTGTGTTTAAAATCATCAGTGATTCCTGTATTGTAAGCAGTGATAATTCTCAGGCCAGTAATTAAAGAGGGTTGTAGAACTTGTTCTATTGAAAAGTTTAGCTGTGACCTTTGTGTGTGTATGACTTGTGAGGAATGTCTGTCATATAGGGCTTGTTGTGCAGGGGGAATGGGCTGTACAGGAAGAGGCAATCCTGTGTGCTTGACAAACTACTTGACTGGTGATACAGGCCTTCTTTCACCATCTCCCCTCTGATAAGCCAGGCTGTCTCTTGTTTACTCTCATCATGGATTAGCTTTTACTTAGCCAAGTCGGGTAGTTAAAATGGAAGGTAAATAACAATAGATATAAACATTGTAATAAGAAAATGTTAATAGTTTATAATATAATATTTTTTTACAATTATTTTATTTACTTTTTTTTTACCAGGCTTTTTTTTTTTTTAAATATTTTTTTATGCTTTGGTAATTTTTTAACTGTGTATTTGGTAGTCTGTGGACAGATTTCTCTCCCATGACAATTAATTGGTTGTTTTATCAGATAAAAACCAAAACATGCAAATTATTTTTTTTTTAAGTTTATTAGTACTTGAAATAATGCACTCTGGACTTGTTAGAAGATATTTTAATGTGTTCCTTCAGTTGCTTGTTGGTTATAGCTGTGTGCTCTTATTATGTCATTAGTGTGTATTAATTTCCATAGGTAGTCACCTTTTGTTAGATACTGTCAACTGGCTATTGATAAAGTTATTTAACAACAGGAATCCCTTTAGAAAATGCTATGAACAAAATGTTACCATATTAATGAAATGTGAAGTCCTAATAAATATGCCACACCAGTGGACTTAGAGTCATGTGTATTCATAATTCACTTTTTTCTGAGTCACCTAAAGACAAAGCAGGAGACTAAAATATATGCAAATAAGATAGTCATGCAGGCTTTGAAGCAATTGGTTCATTGTCTTCCTCGACTGTATACTAACAGTTGATTTAAGTAAATAATCCTTTTGGTTGTGGGCATGTCCTGGTTGTGTCAGTTGACTGAAATAGATATTTTGTGTCATCTTTGTGTGTCAGTGTACCATACTATGGTCCCTGCAATTGATTCAAACTATAGATTTCAAACAACTAGGTTTTTAAATTGATATTTTTATTAACGCATTAATTTCTGTGGTTTCACATTCTGATGGCACTAACTTTAAAACTTGCAATACAAATGGTGCAGGTCTTAGCATTGACCATTACTCATGGCTGTTTGATGAAATGTTTGTATTCACAATGACCAGTGGTCAAGACTTGAATGATGAAATGTAATTGTTGTGTGATCCCCAGCAGTTGCCTGTGGACATGAGCACCATGAAACAACAAGAGAAAGTGGTGAAGATCCTGCCTGCACCCAGCACTGACCCTGACCAGCACGCCATGGGTATGAAACACTCTAAGTCCGACCATTCAGGCCTGATCCGCAAGGACAAACACAAAGCTGACAAGTCCACCATGGGCAAGAAGTTCATCAGCAAAAGCCAGGACAATTTGAGCAGCTCCAAGAAAAGTCGGCCTCTTGCGCCTGTCGTGGAGTCGCCAAAGCCCAGGGACAATGCGACATCTCTCGCCAGGGCTGAGGCTGTCAGGGCAGCAGAAAAAAACAAAGAGAACGTGGCCCTGAAGGAAAAAAATGCTGTGTTTGTCAAACCAAAGCCGGTCAAGCCCAATAGTCTGACCAACATCCGCAAGGCTTCCAGTACCCAGTCCATAGACAGCCAGGCTAGTGTCAAGTCAACCTCATCCAGATCTTCCCACAACCTGGCCATCAAGCGCACCCAGAGCACACAGAACATATCCAAAGACAAGCTGATGAAGAAGAGGACCTCAGCCCCTGCTGATGTCATGGCCTACAATGCTGAACTTTTAGCCAACTTTGAGCGCGAAAAGAAAATTTTAGAGGTCAGGATCTCAGAATTAACCAAAATTGCAGAAAGCCGAAAGGGTGAGATAGAGAAATATAAATACGAAATAAAAAGACTGAAGGAGTCGTCGATCAGCTGCGCGGGAGACAGAGAGGAGCTGGAACTGTTGAGGCACCAAAACAAACAGCTGATGGACAGGCTGAATGAGCTGGGTTTCCCAGCCGAACAGAACACAGACTCTCAGAAGCTGATCCTCAAACTCTCCAGCTCCACTGTGCTAAAGAGCCAAAGCAGCAACTCAGATATTTGTCTGCCTGCCAGCACCAGCTGCGACAGCTTGTCCACAGAGGGCGCTAAAGCCCACACCGCGTCCTGCCCCGACAAGATGGTGCTGGACGTGGTCGGTGCCCAGCTGCGCAGGTCAACGTCCTTATCGGCGTCCGAGCCGGGTCTGTCTATACCAGACCTGTGTGGGACACCGGAGCACCCGTCCATCCTCTCGCTGGACACGGCCAACTGGGACAAGCAGAGCAACAAGTCGGCCAACAGCGACGGCTGCCTGAGCGAGGCATCCGTGGCCTGCCTGACTGAGAGGATACTGCAGATGGAGGAGACCAACTATTCAACAACAGAAGAGTTGCAGGCCACGCTACAGGTGGGTGCTCTTTACATGGCTTGCTCTCGTGTGTCACAAACAGCATTTGTCTATGTTATTACATTATACTTGTCTACCTTAAGAGTCTGCATTACTTGTCCTAAGTATTTTTCTGTTATTTGTGTCTTCATTTTTTATCTACTGTCCTTGTTTTCATTACTAATTTACTTTCCCGTCATCAAAAAACTTCACCATTAACCAATCAACTCAACTGTACTTAAAAAGTAAAAGTTCAAGGTTTATCAACATCATGTCTATGTATTATATGTATAGTTCATAAAAATATCTTTTGGTGCATTTGTTGGTTTTCTTTTTAAAAAAATCAGTGAAATAGTCATCTAATTTTTAAAAAGAGTCATGGGTAAAATAAAAATAAAAACCCATTCTATAGTAGTGTATATTTAACACAGTTAAGATAAAAACTTGAGTTAAAAATGTAAACATCTTATATTAGAGGCTGTCTGAAACATTAGATAGATCTCTACCCACCAAACTCCCACAACTATTTTAGAACAATGACAAAACAAATCTGTAACAAGATGAAAGAGGAACTGTAACTAGCTGGATCTACTGGCTTATACAGTCTACCAATGGAGTTTTGACTAGATGAAACTTAATGACAGCTGTGGTCATTAAGGCAGTAATTAATTGAGTCATTAGTACTGTATGGTATCAAACTTAAGTATCTTGTCCCCTAATGAGGAATGATTGTGATACTGTCAAGACAGGTTTTACATGACCATAATGTGCTCAAAGACAGATCGTGTTCTTAGACAGATTGTGTTCTTAGACATAAATTGTGTTTTTAGACGAATTGTGTTCTTAGACAGATTGTGTTCATAGACAGATTGTGTTCTTAGACAGATTGTGTTCTTAGACAGATTGTGTTCTTAGACAGATTGTGTTCTTAGACAGATTGTGTTCTTAGACAGATTGTGTTCATAGACAGATTGTGTTCTTAGACAGATTGTGTTCTTAGATTGTGTTCTTAGACAGATTGTGTTCTTAGACAGATTGTGTTCATAGACTATTCTTGTCATTCTGGGACTAAGTTCAACATTCTGTATCATTTTGGGACTAAGTTAAGCATACTGTGTTGTCATTCTGGGATTAGGTTTAACAATAAACTGTTATTTTATCAATAGGTTTAACAATAAAGTTTGTTGTCATTCTGGGTCTTAGCAATTAACTTGGCCTAGTCTAGTCACTGGGTTTGACATGTTGGTGACCTACAAGTTGTACAAGATACATTGAGTGTTCTGCATGACCTATTTTTGTGTTTCTAGAAACTTTGCAACCTACAGTGAATGTTTGACATGACCTATTTTTGTGTTTCTAGGAACTTGGTGACCTACAAGATACAGTGAATGTTTGACATGACCTATTTTTTTTCTAGGAACGTGGTGACCTACAAGATACAGTGAATGTTTTATATGACCTATTTTTGTGTTTCACTGTGAATGTTTGAAATGACCTATTTTTGTGTTTCACTGTGAATGTTTGAAATGACCTATTTTTGTGTTTCTAGGAACTTGGTGACCTACAAGATACCGTGAATGAACTGACAGAGGAGAACACAAAGTTGACAGATGAGAAAACTGTTTTGTTGGAGTCTTTGTGTACCCAGACAGAGAAGTTGGAGAATACAAGAATACAGGTCAGTCATGACTCTGGGAGTGTTTGCTGGCTTGGGGTCACACTACATCATCCCTTCAAACCTCCCAATGTATCACTGAACTAGCAAACCTCAAACTATGAATTAAGGAAAATCAATATTTGCATGGAGATTCAGAACTTGTCTCAAATGAGTTTGTCTCTACAGTCCCATAAAATGATCTGTGTATCCATTATCACATCATTAGGTGGTGGTGTTTTACACTGCTCTAGATTCATTACAAGATTTTGTTTAGAGTTCTAGTTAAATAATTAAATAATTCCACTCTGAATTTAGTATTAGTTTGTAAAAAAAAAATAGTACATCTTTTTTTTACCTTATTTGAAACATAATTCTTGTACACTGTAATACAAATGATATAAATGTAAAACATACCTGGTTCTTTAACACTACTTTATTATTCAAAGTGGTGACATGCCAGTTTAAAAAGATAGAATTGTCGAATAAGAATGAGAAATTGCATCGCCTTAAGGGCAGGTTAAACCCCCCCAAAATACATATTTAAGTCAGAAATGTTGATTTTTGAAAATCTATTGTTTCTGAAACTACATTCAATTCTGAACATTTTTGTATAATGATTTTGCAAAATTTCGTATTGCTAGTATTTTTTATAATTTTTTAATTAATGAGACTAATGACGTAATTGACCTATATTAAGCAACATTTAGCAACATAAAAATTAAAAACTAACTAAAATAGATGTTCTTATTGCTGAGTAAGAGGCACCAGATGCAATTTATGTAACTGGGAGGTTTTAAAAATGACTTATTTGGTATAGTTTTCGATTTTTCTCGTTTTTTTCAAATTTAGTATATTTTTCACTATTTAGCGTTTTTCTCAAAATGTTACTTTTCAACAAAATAGTACCAGTTAAATCACTATAACTCAAAAACTACTTGAGATATTTAGCTGAAATTTTGCACACATGTTTACTAACCACTGCTTGTAAAGGTGAACTAAAAGAATTTCTATATCTTTGAAACCTATCATTTTATTTAAAAAAAGCTAAGTCTACTCCCTACTTTTTGGAAAAAATTTAGGTCTCTTATTTAAAAAATTTGGCTAAAATCCATTTTTTATTATTTTCTAATTGTTTTAGTTCAACTTTTTTGTAATTGCGTATATTACACTATATTAAAGATTTGTGTTATTCTGACAAACAGAAGCAGAGTTATTGTGATTTCAATGAGAGCTAATTTTGAGCTATTTTACCCTAAAAATGACACTTTTTAGAAAATATTTTCACAAAACCATAACTTTTTAGTGATTTTTTTGCATTTTTTTCATATACTATACTAGTTACAACTTCCTTATCACTCAAAAAAGTCCTAACACCTAAATTTCAATTTGGGGGTTTAACCTGCCCTTAAATCATGCTCATTGTTTTAGAAAATTTTAAAAGCACTTGTTAATGCTGTACTCATTACTTTCCTTAGCCATTTTAAGTTTACTATCAACAAGTGTGTAGATCTTATTGATTCTCTTTAGAGTACTGTATGAATGAAAAGTTTTTGCAACTACTGTCTTGTACCAGCTGGAACAACTGAAATGTCTGCTGATATCCGGGGAGCTGCCAGACAAGTCAGAGAAGGACAGCCATCTCCTGGCCCTGCTCAAGTCAGCGCAGGAGGAGAGGGAGGAGCTGATGAGGAAACAGACGGAGTGGTCCAATGCCCTGCAGGCTCTAGAGAATGAGTACAGGGAGGCGCAGGATGCTGCTGATAGTCTCAGAGAGAGATGCAGGTAAAGGGGGTGGGGGCAGACACGTGGGGTGGGGGTCTGGTAAAAAAAAGAAATTAAGAAGCCACACTAAGTGTTGCTGTGCTTCAGTTTGGATCTGATTTACACATACTCTACCATTTCTGTCACTATAAAATTAAGTTAACTTTACTTCAAATGTCTTGTTTCATGCCTCCTATGTCTTGTTTCATGCCTCCTACCATTTCTGTGACTATAAAATTAAGTTAACTTTACTTCAAATGTCTTGTTTCATGTCTCCTACCATTTCTGTCACTATAAAATTAAGTTAACTTTACTTCAAATGTCTTGTTTCATGTCTCCTACCATTTCTGTCACTATAAAATTAAGTTAACTTTACTTCAAATGTCTTGTTTCATGTCTCCTACCATTTCTGTCACTATAAAATTAAGTTAACTTTACTTCAAATGTCTTGTTTCATGTCTCCTACCATTTCTGTCACTATAAAATTAAGTTAACTTTACTTCAAATGTCTTGTTTCATGTCTCCTACCATTTCTGTCACTATAAAATTAAGTTAACTTTACTTCAAATGTCTTGTTTCATGTCTCTCTGCTATGCTTCTTGCTGCATTTCTATATGAAATAGATTGCTTAACAACTTTGAATCTTCTCTCCCAGCCTGCTAGAGGACTCCAACTCTTCGCTGAAGGCTGAGAAAGATGCTCTAGACAAAGTGTGTTGTGAGATGAAGGAGGCCAAAGAGGCTGAACATATTGAGGTGGTCAGACTGAGGACATTGCTGGACCATCAGAAATCTAAGGTTGGTCAGCTGAGTTGAATGGTCAAATGAACATTCTTGATCCCTTGTATTGTAGATCAGAAATCTAAGGTTGGTCAGCTGTTGAATGGTCAAATGAACATTCTTGATCCCTTGTATTGTAGATCAGAAATCTAAGGTAGGTCAGCTAAGTTGAATGGTGTAATGAACATTTTTGACCCCATGAAGATGGGGCTCACAATATTTACATTTGAATAGCAAAAACTCCTTTAAAATACATAAAAAACATAATTGGTTCTAATTGTATTGTTGGTGTGATGATTTATTTGTAAAAATATATCTTAATCATTTTAAACCAATGCATTAGTTAATGTGTATTTTTTGCTAATAGTTGTTTTTTTTTTTGGACTTTAAATGTTTCCTTTTATGTTTAAATTTTTGCTTAAGCAGTTTGAGTAAAATACTGTTTTTAAATAGCATATTATCTTGTTGTAAAATGGTTCATTAAAAGTCCAGAAACAAAAGTAAACTTGTAAGACTGAAGATGCCCACTTTAGAGGTTTAAAAGGTTGTTTACACCTGATGCAGGTACAGGAGCTGGAGGCATCGCGGAGGACGCAGGATAAAACAGACTTGGAAGATCTGCTGGACGCAGCCAGACAGGAGAAGGACAAAGCTGAGCAAACCATCACAGACCTGACTGAATCACTCTCCCTCTCCAAGTGTGAACTCACCAAACTCAAGGAGGCGCTGGCTAGCAAAGAACAGGAATTACTGGGTAGGTTTTGTTATGATTAAATAGTTCAGTTTTTGAGATCATATTGTTTGTGTTACTGTTGTTGATTGATTAAGTTTAGAAACTATCAGTTATTTTTACGATTAATTGGCCAAGTTTGAGCACAATTTTTAAAAAATGATCTATGTTGAATTTCTGTCAGTAAAAATTATTTAAATACAGTTCGAGCCATAAAAGAATTTTTGTAGAAGATTTATTTGGGCCTACGTAGCTGCAAGAAGAGATTAGTGTATTATCACTGTCTTCTATATTACAATTTTTACACAGATTTTTAATAAAACTAACCAAATATGAATTGTTACATTGCATTAGCCAGTGCTAATGAATCTGTTAATGTATCTCCCTCACCAGTGGCCCGTAAGAATGCCAAAAGCCAAGTGACAGACCTACATTTTGCTCTAAAGACAGCAGAGAAAGAGAAGTTGGATGCCCAGAGAGAAGTGGCAGCGTTGAGGGAACACACAGAGCAGCTGGAGTTGGATTGTGAGAGGTTGGTCTGCTCTAGCAGCTTGTTCTATCTATACAGTCTTCAAGCTACGTTCTTACAATTTTGCAATGACAATTTTTGTTCCTAACGGTGGATACACAGCTTTTATTACTTGTCTGAACCAGTTTGTTTTCTCTATGAGCACTTTCTCCAATCCTGTACTCACTTTTTCTCACTATTGACCTGTTCCCTCCACTTTGTTCCCTCCGTGCAGGTATGTGGAAGACAAGAAAAACTGTACGGCCAACATGGAGGAACTTCAGACAGAGCTGAGGAGAGTGAGACAAGAGAAGCAGATATGTGAGGCAGAGCTACATGAGGTAAGGCTGATAGCCACAGCTACATGGCTGGTAGCTAGAGCTACATTGGGTAAGACTGTTAGCCACAGCTACATTAAGTAGAGTGGTAGCCACAGCTACATTGGTTAATGCTGGTAGCCACAGCTACATTAAGTAGAGTGATAGCCAGAGCTACATTGGTTAAGGCTGGTAGCCACAGCTACATTAAGTAGAGTGGTAGCCAGAGCTACATTGGGTAATGCTGCTAGCCCCAGCTACATGAGGTGATGGGTATAAATTCAAGCTCAGATTTGTAAAATGTTCTCAAAGCTGCCGTGTCTTGACAGAATTTAGCAGTAATGACTTGTTGTACTGGCAATTTGTCATGTGTTTTGTTTTACCATGTTTCAACAAAAGATACTAAACACTAGATAAAATCTTGATAAAATATTTTCTGTTATGTTGACTAGATAAGCTCCAAGCATGATATGGAATCTGAAGAATGGAAGCAGTTCCAGAAAGATCTCCAGACGGCTGTAGTGATCGCCAACAACCTGAGCCAGGAGAGTCAGGAGAAGATGGAGCGTCTGACAGCAGAGAACAGTCAGCTGCATGAGCAGTGTGCAGGGCTGGAGGTGGAGGTCAACAAACTCAGGCATGAGATGAAGCTCTACAGGTCAGCTGATTCCAGGAAACCTTCCATATTCACAAACTCTGAGCTCAAGGGGAAAGTAAGTTAATTTTTTTTTTATCTTTCCCTGAGTGGCAGGATTGTGTGTGATATTAAGGTTTGTAGCAGGTGGAGTAGAGTTAACTGTTTTATTACTCAGCCAATGAAGGACTTTTTTGAAAACAGCATGCTCAGCAGTTTTAATTTACCTGGCTAGAAGCAGGTGCCCATCAGAGCTGGGTGGACTCTGGGACTTGTAGGTTAGCACTAATCCCTCAATCTGCAGCATTAAAACTGTCAGATGTTGGCCCATCATTTACTTAACAACTTTTGTTTTCTTTGACACTGAAGAGATTCTGTCATTTTTTTCACTCAGGTGTTAAAGAGCATGGACAGGAGCACACTGCGAGAAGGACGACCCTCCCTGGACCAGCGCACCCAAAGCATCTCTGTGAAGTCCTTGATCCGCTCCATCGAGGAGCAGGTGAAGTCTGGCTGCTCATCCATCCACTCCAGCCACTCGGAGTCCCGCCGCAGCTCCACCTCCTCCGACATCTCCCTGACCTCTCTCAAGGAACTGGTCAAGTCTCCATCCTCGCCCCTCCCTGACAGCCCAAGGTCACCAACAAAGGAGTTTTCCCTCAAGCCCCACAGTTTCCGCAGCAAACAGGAGGACAGGTCCCCACAAGATAAGGACGCCCAGGTCCTCAGCCCAGAGGGTCTCAACAAGTCTAGCTCCAGGGGGGATGAGGGCAAGATGACACAGATCTCTTCCATACTCAAAGACAGGGGGACACCTCGACGAGGGAGCACAGTGGTGTGAGTTTCTGATACTAGGGCTAATCTACTACAGCATTCCTTTTTGTTACTAGAGCATTCCTTTTTGTTACTAGAGCATTCCTTTTTGTTACTAGAGCATTCCTTTTTTTACTACAGCATTCTTTTTTGTTACTAGAGCATTCCTTTTTGTTACTAGAGCATTCCTTTTTGTTACTAGAGCATTCCTTTTTGTTACTAGAGCATTCCTTTTTGCTACTAGAGCATTCCTTTTTTTTACTACAGCATTCTTTTTTGTTATCAAAGCATTCCTCAGCTTTATTGTTACTGTATTGAAAAAACTATTAAAATGTAAGTTCCATTATGAAATTATTCCAATATTTGTATGTTCAGAGAACCAGATACATCAAAGAAAGAAACACCAAGCAGGGATCCACTGGCTTCACTGGCCAAGCTGATGAAAGGCTCCAAGAGGAATGCTCTGCTCAAATGGTGCCAGCTCAAGACTATTCCCTACTCGGTAAGGTCATTTTACTCCTGGTGCTAAGTTGAAAGGTCCTTGCCAGTTGAAGACTATTCCCTACCCAGTAAGGTCATTTTACTTCTGGTGCTATCTATTTTAAAGTGTGTTGAGTATTTGACATGTGAGGCCAGGTCTGATGATGAATGTCATTTCTTGTTGTACAGAATGTTGACATCACAAACTTCAGCAGTAGTTGGAACGATGGCCTTGGATTCTGTGCTCTGCTGCACAGTTATCTGCCAGAGAAAATTCCATACTCGGAGCTGTCAACAGAAGATAAGGTGAGAGCTTGCCACAAATACACTAACTTAACCCTTTTAACACTACGGTCATGTATGTGGCCAGAAAAATATTTCCATAACCCTTTAAAAAGAAAATGGATTCCTCTTTAGGCCTAGCTATCCATTGGTAGATGAAGTAGTTTGTTTCTTGACCTCCACATATAAAGGGATAGTGTGGTCAGCACTATGATGCCCAACCACCTTAATTTTCCCCAATGTAAGACAGTTACCCATCAGAGCTGGGTGGACTCAGGGACGTCCTACAGTCTCAAGTCCGAACTGAGATCCAAACTCTAGACCTTCGGCTAGCAGCCAAACGCTCTACTATTCGTGCACACCCTTTAAAACCAGAGTTTTGTATTTGACAGAAACCACAATTTAACTTGTTCTACAAAGTAGACAAGTTTTTAATCAAGAACTACAAATTTCTGTGACAAAAAAATACACATGACTTAGTGGATAAAAGAATGGCCAAAAAATGTCTAGTTTAAAAAAAATCATTAAAATACATTTTTTATTAATCTGTTTAGAACATTTTTATTTTACCTAAGTTCTATTTTTCATTGAATGTTTTTTTAATCAGTCAACAATTGTGTTGTTTCTTTTTGTAGAGACAGAATTTTACATTAGCATTTACAGCAGGGGAAAGTGTGGGGATCAAAGCCACACTGGTAAGTCACTCAATGGCTCATGGTTCATTTGATTATTTATTTTAAACTTTAGTTTTTTTTAATTCAAATTTCTGAGTCTTGCCTGAAATATTTTTAAAATAGAGCTAGAGCAAATATTGATAAAATAATTCAAAGACAATGTTTTTGTACTTATTTAATAAATTTAATACCGAGGCATGAAACTTATCATAAAACTGCAAACATTGTTTCCCCAGAACATCAATGACATGGTAGCAATGGAGAGGCCCGACTGGCAGGCGGTGATGAATTATGTGACTGCTATCTACAAACATTTTGAGAAGTTGTGAACAGCCAGCTGAGTTCTGCTGACAATTTTATTTTCTTGCACATCCAGCAAGTTGTATGTGAGGTTTTGCTACAGTTCTGTCCCATGTTGCACATCCAGCAAGTTGTATGTGAGGTTTTGCTACAGTTCTGTCCCATGTTGCACATCCAGCAAGTTGTATGTGAGGTTTTGCTACAGTTCTGTCCCATGTTGCACATCCAGCAAGTTGTATGTGAGGTTTTGCTACATTTCTGTCCCATGTTGCACATCCAGCAAGTTGTACGTGAGGTTTTGCTACAGTTCTGTCCCATGTTGAGCACTTGGCAGTGTGTCCCTGCTTTGTAGGATGTCTCGATGGTTAACTTGTACATAGGGGATCATTGGCTGAATGGATATCTTGGCCGTTGTCAAATGGATAGAAATCTAAATGAAATTTTGACTAGAGCCTAGTGAGTGGTTGGCTGATTGAATGAATGTTTGAACTACAAACAGTTGAATGGATTGATGGCTGAATGAATGAATGTTTGAACTACAAACAGTTGAATGGATTGATGTCTGAATGGTTGGCTGAATGAATGAGTGTTTGAACTACAATTGAATGAATACCTGGATGAAAGACTTAGAGCATTCAGCATGAGCTGCTCCTATGGAGTTCAATCATTTCACAACTTGTTTCCTCCATAATTGTTTTACCATCACTGGCCAATGTAAATACCGTGGCTAGAGTTGGCCTTGCTTTTAACCAGTCACTGGCCAAGTAATTATCTTGGCTTGAGTTGGCCCATAATTGTTTAACCATCACTGGCCAAGTAATTATCTTGGCCATAGTGGCCCAGCTTTAAACCAGCATGTCACCAGCAATGGAGACCTGTCCCAGCTTCTTTACCTGTACTTAATTAATTTATGTCTATCAAAGCTTGAAGTGGTCAGTATTTGATAGTTCTAGTCTAGTCTCTTTCGTTTTAATTTTTTTTTAAATAAAATGTTTATCAAATTTTCAATTAGTCACTTGTATCATTTGAACAATGGCTGGTGTCACTTCAGCTGTAGTGTATCCAATTGATCAAAAGCCAACACCACTACCATTCTTTATTCTGCCATTGAAAAGCCACGGAGATACACTGAGAACATAGGAGTCATCCATTTAAGATACCCACAAAAAAACCTGTGTTTTAAATAAAGCCCATTTCTCATGTGGACATCCAATATACGAATTCACAAATGTGTTGTATTATATGTATATTATTTTGCAATTAAATTTTTCTCCTAAATGTCTTAAGTATAATAGAACCTGGAACATCTTGAGTAAAATAAAATGTTTTCAATGTTTAAATATATTTTTTAGCACTTGCTTAATTGTTTTTTCCCCCCCAATTTCAAACAAAAACTGATGCAGAGCATTCAACTTATTAATTTTTGTAGTCATAAACGTCATCTTAATTAGTAGTCAGCAACATATTGTATATTTGTTTTCATTCATTACTTAATTTCTGTAAAAAACTGGTACTGTGGTTTAAGAATTTTGTTACATTTAATGTAGACATCCACTCGTATCTGATCCTTCCCATCCACAAAATACATTTTTCTGTTATGGAGATGAACACAGTGACATGACAGAAAGAGTTTTAATATCATGAACATACAATTGTTTGGCTAACCAACTATCAAGTCTTCTACACAGATAAAGGACCAATACAATCTTTAAGTAACCGTACAAATTATTTGTTTTTTTTTAGAAGAATTTCGTAGTTTAGAGATAAAATATTCCATTCAAACAGATCTCATTACAAAAAATATCACAATAGATAAAATTGAAAAAAATTGTGTTGGTTGCTGACCAATATTTTTAGTATCCGTGACAGAATTCAGTTATAAAAATGTAATTTCTTCTGATTGCTAATCCCCTAACAAATACAGCTCATCTTTGGCGTAAGTAACAATGGTATGACACTGTGCTATTGTAGCAGACCTTAAGCTTTACCACAACCACATGATGAAATGAGCTTTGCTGCCTATCAACAAAACAAAAAGACAGAACTAAAGCTAAGACATGTATTTATCACAATCCAAGCAGATGCTGCCAATTAGGTTCACAAGCCATTTAGTCCAATTTGTACAAGAAGTAAAGATAAAACCTACCTAAGTCTTTGATCTAATGTGACCACCCCTCCCACCTTTCCTCAACCACTATGAAACATTAATACATGAGGAGAGGTTCTAGGATTTTTCTATTTATAAATTATTCTTATTGATTATTTTTAAATTAGATTGTTCTATGGTTGGTATTATTAAAGATGCAAGATATCATATTATTAATTTTTAAGGATTAGAAAATTAAAACCAAGCTACTACAGATCATGTAGTACAAGACATATCAAGTATTTTATCATTAGCTTGACTAATTAAAACCTTAAATTGTACACTGGCAGTTAATGACATAGGAACCAGAAACCATACAACACAGATCTTAAGTTCTAACAACATATCACACACCACAATCATTTGCTAAGAACTTTTAAAAATAAAACAAAAATGTGTGAGCATTTTCTTTGCAGTCAAATGAGCAAAATGTGCAGATAGGCCAGGTAAATGTTACAATAAAATGCCAACAAGCAGATTAAGGGACCAGAACTTGTATAATATTCATGCTTATCACAACACTTGTTACTTAAAAATATGTTCACTGTCAATATTAATAGACCAGATTTCAACGGCAAGGTTTCATAGTTTTCCATTTGTTTGAGCTTAGAAAAAATTGGCTTACAGAAGCCTTGTTGGCAACTCGCCAGATTTCTATGGCAAGTTTGTTTTTAAAAATGTGGTTAACATTTAAACTAAGTTTAAAGTCGCAAGGAGTTCTTGTTGTTAAAACAAAAAGAGATTAACGTTAAGTTAAATGTAAAGTCATGAAAACAAGCCGAGACATTTTTTAGTCTTTAAGAAAAAAAAAGCATTTTGTCAAGGGACAAAGCTGAGATCACATCGAACCATCACAGTGAGAAACGGGAGAAGCTACCTTTCCACAACCCAACCACATGGCACCAAAGACAGGTGTAGAGATAATTAACACACACACCTGTCCATGAGAGTAAAATACATACATCTGTTAACACTGACAAAAACACTGGGAATATCTTCTCTATAAATATATGGATATACATCTATTAATATAAATTTATATTAGCAATATAAAGTTGCTGCGCCCAGACCAGATGAACTCAAGTATGTAAAGTATAATGAAACTGCTTCTATACTTCAGGTGTGAATTCTTTTTTTAAACTAATGTATCAACAAAACATATTTAGCTAATGCTTCACACACAACACGTTTGTTAATTTAGAATTTGACTGGCAATATGAAATCAAATGAGCAGTTAATTCATGCAGATTGCCTTGAATTTTTTAAAAAGGACTTCTGGACAAAACAAACAGTAGATAATGAAGCAGACTTGTGTATGTGAACGGTTTAAAAGATTTGTACCAGATCTGTGGTTTGTCTGCTTGTTAAAGAAAATATTTTACCACATAGAAATGTGTCACCTATGTGCATGCTAGATTTGTTGGTGGTAGAAATAATCTATCTGCACTTCTGACAGTAAATTCATAGAAAGGGAAGCTACCAATGTTTACCTAAATATCATTCTTATTACAACTACAAGTACACAAAAAGTTATGATCAACACAGTAAGTATTAGAATAACAATCTATGTGTGGTTCAATGATACTAACAAAGTTTGATTTAGTAAATCCTGACATGAAATATTTTAGTTCAAAGTTTGATTTAGTAAATCTGGACAAAATGTACATTTTAAAAATCTGTGAATATAATAAAATATGATGTGTTTATAGTTTAAGGGAAAAAAGAAAGATCTTTTGATTAATTCTGGGTTCTTTTTTTTTTATCTTAAATGTAATGATATTTATATTGACCTCATTGGTAGGATATGAATGAAAAAGTTTTTATGTAGAAAAATTGATCAGCCAAAGAATGGCTCAGTAAAATAATAGGTATTAATTTACATTATATAAGTACTTGATACCAAAAATATGTATAATAATAATTTTTGAGAATTATTTGAATTATTAAGTTATTTTTAAACAAAATTAAAGGCTCTTTAATAGCATTTTTTTAAAAATACAATTAATTATGTAACCAGTCAAAATGAAATGTATGTTGCCAGGGTGATTTTTTACTGATTTGAAAACAAATGAAGCTGCATTGTTGTGATAATATCATTTGGCCAATCAGGCATGAGATGCATTTGTAAATGACCTGAGATCTAGAAAAATGGTTTTGATGCACAAATGCATTTTAACTGACTAGATATTTGTGGCCGGACAGTTCATCCAGAGATTCTAGGCCTACATCATGGTTAATTAACTTATTATGGGAAGTAAAATAACCTGTTTGTTAGAAGGGAAATGTCACTTTTAGCAGTTGAAAATAAACAGCCTAATATGATAGGAATTTTTGAGGTAGTTAAGAAGGACATTCTGATCTACTTCTATAACATTCTAATCTAATTATAGAACAGTTGTCCATTTTAAGAACATTTAAGCAAAAATATGTTTGCCCTATATTATTTAAAATATTATTTATTCCACATACTTTATATATTTGACAAATGCTTGGGTATAAATTAAATAGAGATATAAATAATAAAATTAGTAGAGGTACAGGATAAATTATTTAGTACAGTAAAAAAACTCAAGAGTTAAATAAACTGAGATTTAGCTTTGACCTAGCTCATGCAAGAGCTGAACAAACTCAGCTTTAGCTCACGCAAGAGCTAAACAGACTTTAACCTGGTTCATGCAAAATCTTCAACTTTGAACCTTTTCTTTAAAATATTTCCAAAACTATCCTCGGCCAAGATGGTGATGGTGGGGACATCAGCGGGGAGGTTGGAAACTTTTGATCTGTGCAGGACAAATTCTGTAGGCGGCGCCTGATTCAGGAATTCCCAGTGATGGAAGACAGAACCTTCCGGGTCCGTGCGCAGCTCAACTATACGTATCCCTACTGGTGATTTGATTCGTGCTCTACAACATAATATAATTTCAATAATTAAAGAATATTTTAAAGGAGGGATATTATTATATTTACAAATTAAATATAACTGTATTGTTTTGGGATTATCATCTACAGTGTTTTATGAAGTGCAATCTTTATTTTAAAAATAGATTTTTTATAAATTTATTACAATATTTTAAAAAATGTATCAGCCTTCCCCGACAAACCCTGGTGTCTTACATAGGTAATAATATGTCTAAATAAACAAAAACCAGTATAGACATGCAATGATTGTAACATTATTTCTATAACTAATAATATTTATGCCGTCAGTTTCTACACAAGATGAAACCCAATCTCTTTCAATACATAGACCTATATGTGGCATGTGAAACACAGCCAGGTGTAGACATATAGAGAGATCTAATAGCCCCAATAAAACCATAAAGTTGACAGCTGCTGTAAATAAAACAGTTATCTCCCTTGTTATTGCCCAAATCAAACATATTGAGTTACTTACCCTTGTAAAGTGGGGTTTTTCCGGCAGTCACTGGGATCACATTTATTGAACCATCTTTAAAAAAAATATTTTTTTGTTAGACTCTAAAATGATTTAAACAAGTTACACTAACTAATAAAAGTAATGAAAATAAAAGGGAAACAGAAAGGCATTAGATGTTATTTATCATCTGGCTTGCTTAAAGAGACAAAATGGCAAGTTTTATGGTAAGATAAACTGATTACCCCTTGGTTGGCTATGACAACAATAATAAAATCAACTAGATGCTATACCAACAACATTAGTGATTGAAAGAAAATTTTTTTTTTACAGAGCTTAGAGGCTATAAAAGACCAAAATAGAGTGAAACAAACCAAACATTTGTTATTTTCCCACTAAATCTAAACTTAATGTAACATCAATAGGAAATGTATTTTTAAATTAATGTGACAAAGCTGATTTTTCATAAATTTTAGCAGTTTCTTAAAATAGCCATTTTATTTTTAGAAGTTAGTAGGCTCATCAATCTCATCACGTTATTGTTACAAAATTGTTAAATGCTGGGCCTCGTTAAGGTAAAATTGTTAAATGCTGGGCCTCGTTAAGGTAAAATCATTAAGGTAAAATTGTTAAATGCTGGGCCTCGTTAAGGTAAAATCATTAAGGTAAAATTGTTAAATGCTGGGCCTCGTTAAGGTAAAATCGTTAAGGTAAAATTGTTAAATGCTGGGCCTTGTTCAGGTAAAACGTGCTCTCAAGTACTGCTACTGTAGGCAGTAGATAAGGTCAGTAGCACTGTGCCCAAGTATATTTTCCCTAAAATTTGATTTAAAACAAAAAGAACTAAAATTCAAATTTTTAGAAAATTTGTATCTAAAATATTTGTTAAAGAGCAGAAGTTAAGAAGCAGAAGTTTAAAAAAATGTCCATTTAGTACATGCATAAAAAATATCTTTTTACAAAGAAGCATTTTTATTTTTTTTAAAAGTGGAACAAAAAATAATTTTTTAAAAGTCCAGTGAAAAAAAGTTTTTTTTAATTGTATGGTGTTTAAAAAGTAAGCTGAAACTATGTAATATATAATATTATAATAATAGAAAAGATAAATGGACCATTAGCAATAAGATATCAAGTGACTTAAGATTGCTCAACAAACTGATATGTTATCAAATGAAAGAAAACTAGCTAAAAGTGATTAATTTCAAAATGAAATAGAAAAAAATTTCAGTAAGAGCTAAAAAAAACTTTCTACGAGTGCTGGAAGAAAGCTTTACCTCACAAAGCTCTGAGGTGAATGGAGAAAGAATGGTATTTATACAGACGGTTTTAAAAATATGTTATTTTAAATCCTAGTTTTCTCCCTTTAATTGATTTACTTCCCTTTAAACACTGTTATGTTTTTGAAGGTTGTTACTACAAAATATGTTGCAACAATTTTAAAAGTTTAATTTTTTTTTTAAGTTTTTTATTAGTTTTTCAAAAAAAATGTTTAAGGTTGCAATTTCTCTAATCATGAAACAAAACAAGTTAATAAAAAGCATTTCCATTCAACATGGGATTTTTGACTAATGATAGTTTTGTTGACCAAGATTTTATGGTCCAAACCAATGAGTACAAACAGGGATGTGGACAATTTTGGCACACCACAGAGAATAATCACATAGTTAATTAAACACATTGTAAAGCTGTATAGTTCATTTAATGACAACAAAGGACCTTGGCATGGTCACAGACTAAATATAAAACTAACTCAAACAGCCACATAAAATTAACAAAGATAAGATGTAAGGTAAAAACTTACTTATGAAAGCGCAGGACAACAGCAGACGAGCGATACCAGTGGGCTCCTGCATCCACAAAGTTGACCTCTGAGGTTATGGTGAGGTCAGAGGTGGAGGGTGGGTCCTCTGGGGAGTTGGGTAGTGTGGAGGGGCCGGGAGAGGTGGGGGACAGGGAGGAGGACGAGCCCACAGAGGTCAAGGACACCGACGAGGGCCTGCGGTCTGTAGAACAAATGAACATTCTGGAAGTTTATACTGTGTCTTCTCAGACCAGATGGTTCATGGGGCAGATGAAGTAGAGTTTAACTGTTTCTCTGAACTTCAACAAATGAAAGGCTAGCGTGGTCAGCATTATGTCCAGACACCATTTCTTGCCGAAATCAGGTACTTATCAGAGCTGGGTGGACTCAATAATATTCTACTCCTCTAACGATTAATTTGGAGAAACTAGCCCAGGACAGAAATGCCTGGAAAGCTCTAGTCAGCTGCCTAAGTCCCAGGACGGGCAACAGGCTAACTTAACCTACCCAAGGACTCAAGACCATTAACCGATGTGGAGAATTTTGGATTATTATTATGTCCTCTAACTTTTGACCACTCAATATTAATTTGTTTTAAATGTTGACATCACCATTAAAAAAAAATTCAAGATGATTTTGTTATTACCAGCACTAGATTTTAAAATCTTACATATATATATATATATATATATATATATATATATATATATATATATATATATATATATATATATATATTAGGATTAGTCTCAAGTATAATTATACTTTATGAAATATTTTACAACAAGAATGTACAACTATTACCCCCAGTCATCTTGGTAGAACTCCCTTCTCGCACCACGGTTGAGCGGATAGTCTCCCCTTCCACGATGGTCTGCCGAGTCTCGCTGCCATCGTAGTTTTTTACAGAGAAGGTCATGGTCGTTGGAGCGGCAATCTGCCTGAATCCCGACTCAATGCTGACCACAAGAGGGGCAGGAGGGGTGTAGATTCTATCACTAGGTGTTAGTGCCTGGCAAAATTATAACATTTTCTTAAAATTCTTGTTCGTCATTCAAAATCACATGTTTACACATAGTTCAAAATCACATATTTACACATAGTTCAAAATCACATATTTACACATAGTTCAAAATCACATGTTTACACATAGTTCAAACTCACATATTTACATAGTTCAAAATCATAGATCTACATTTATTAAAAATTCTAAAGGAAAAATGAACAGACTGCACTTGATAAAACTGAATATAAAACAAAAAGCTGTGTGTTTAGCCCAGAGCTCACCTGCTTATTGGGGCTGCCATAACATATATCTGTCTGTCTCTTGAGGGCGGCACTGATTGCACTCATGGCACCATTAGCACTATCATAGCTACTGCCTGGTGATCAGATACAACAGTTAGACCACAACCACATAAAATATGGGGGAAAGGGACGTCAGTTATAATTGAAATCATGATACATATTTTATTTTTCTACTTGACTGAATTGAAGTTATGATTGGCTTCAATTTTTAAAAAATTAAGAAAAACCAAAAGGCCAGTAAATGACCTAAAGACCATCAACTGACCTTGACCACTGAATGACCTAAAGAACAGACTGTCCTAAAGACCACTGACTGATCTAAAGACCACTGACTGACCTAAGGATAAGATACTGACCAAGACTATCACATGACCTTTACCACTGACTGACCTAAAGAAGGTGAGGTGTCATCAATGCTGCTGGTGGATGGTGTGCGTGACACCTCGGAGTTGCTGCTGCCACCACTGTTGTACCTCTGGCGCTGCCTGTCAGACCTGTGGTGGTGCCGGCCCTTACGTCTACGTTGTACAGTAAAAACCTGGGGAACCACATACAAATATTCATATTTTATGTGCCTATGTTGTAGTTGTACATACTTATTATAAAAATGCAATCTTTTGTCCAAGTATACAAATATTTAAAAATTTAAGAAACTGAAACATTGACAAAACTACTCTCCAAATACCTGGTCATTAAACATAAAATGTTTTACTAAAAAAACTGACCCCATCAAACAGCTGACCCCACCAACAGCTGACCCCCACCAACAGCTGACCCCATCAAACAGCTGACCACACAAACAGCTGACCACACCAACAGCTGACCGCATAAACAGCTGACCACACAAACAGCTGACCCACCAACAGCTGACCCCACAAAAAACTGACCCCACAAACAACTGACCCCACCAACATCTGACCCCCACAAACAGCTGACCCCATCAAACAGCTGACCCCACACACAAACAGCTGACCCCACAAACAGCTGACCCCCACAAACATCTGACCCCCACAAACAGCTGACCCCATCAAACAGCTGACCCCACACACAAACAGCTGACCAAATCAACAGCTGACCCCACCAACATCTGACCCCCAAAAACAGCTGACCCCACCAACAGCTGACCCCCATAAACAGCTGACCATATAAACAACTGAACACATAAACAGCTGACCCCACAGACAACTGACCCCACCAACAGCTGACCCCAAAAACAGCTGACCACACCAACAGCTGACCCCACAAACAACTGAGCACATACCTTATGCAGGTCATCAAAACCTCGTGCCATGATGCCAGAGGGTGTGTGAGCCAGGTCAAACGTGTGACCCAGTTCATGTAGAGACGCGCCTAGACCCGTGGCGTAGTTGGCCCAGTAATACTCTCTGAAATAGACAATAGCAATATGAGTTAACAAATCTAACAGTAATACTCTCTGTGATAGATAATAACATAATGTGTTCACAAATCTAACAGTAATACTCTCTGTGATAAATAATAGCATAATGTGTTCAAATATCAGTAATACTCTCTGAGATAGATAATAGCATAATGTGTTCACAAATCTAACAGTAATACTCTCTGAGATAGATAATAACATAATGTGTTCACAAATCTAACAGTAATACTCTCTGAGATAGATAATAGCATAATGTGTTCACAAATCTAACAGTAATACTCTCTGATAGATTATAACATAATGTGTTTACAAATCTAATGTGTTCACAAATCTAACAGTAATACTCTGAGATAAATAATAGCATAATGTGTTCACAAATTTAACAGTAATACTCTCTGAGATAGATAATAACATAATGTGTTCACAAATCTAACAGTAATACTCTCTGAGATAGATAATAGCATAATGTGTTCACAAATCTAACAGTAATACTCTCTGAGATAGATAATAACATAATGTGTTCACAAATCTAACAGTAATACTCTCTGAGGTAGATAATAACATAATGTGTTCACAAATCAAACAGTAATACTCTCTGTGATAAATAATAGCATAATGTGTTCACAAATCTAACAGTAATACTCTCTGAGATAGATAATAGCATAATGTGTTCACAAATCTAACAGTAATACTCTCTGATAGATTATAACATAATGTGTTTACAAATCTAATGTGTTCACAAATCTAACAGTAATACTCTGAGATAAATAATAGCATAATGTGTTCACAAATTTAACAGTAATACTCTCTGAGATAGATAATAACATAATGTGTTCACAAATCTAACAGTAATACTCTCTGAGATAGATAATAGCATAATGTGTTCACAAATCTAACAGTAATACTCTTTGAGATAGATAATAACATAATGTGTTCACAAATCTAACAGTAATACTCTCTGAGGTAGATAATAACATAATGTGTTCACAAATCAAACAGTAATACTCTCTGTGATAAATAATAGCATAATGTGTTCACAAATCTAACAGTAATACTCTCTGAGATAGATAATAACATAATGTGTTCACAAATCTAACAGTAATACTCTCTGTGATAAATAATAGCATAATGTGTTCACAAATCTAACAGTAATACTCTCTGAGATAGATAATAACATAATGTGTTCACAAATCTAACAGTAATACTCTCTGATAGATAATAACATAATGTGTTCACAAATCTAACAGTAATACTCTCTGAGATAGATAATAACATAATGTGTTCACAAATCTAACAGTAATACTCTCTGAGGTAGATAATAGCATAATGTGTTCACAAATCTAACAGTAATACTCTCTGTGATAGATAATAACATAATGTGTTCACAAATCTAACAGTAATACTCTATGAGATAGATAATAACATAATGTGTTCACAAATCTAACAGTAATACTCTCTGAGATAGATAATAACATAATGTGTTCACAAATCTAATGTGTTCACAAATCTAATGTGTTCACAAATCTAACAGTAATACTCTCTGATAGATAATAACATAATGTGTTTACAAATCTAACAGTAATACTCTCTGTGATAAATAATAGCATAATGTGTTCACAAATTTAACAGTAATACTCTCTGAGATAGATAATAGCATAATGTGTTCACAAATCAAACATGCATCAGATTAGAATCATAAAACCTGTCTCATATTACTCCCATATAGACAACTAGCATAATGTGTTCACAAATGAAACAAGCATCAGATAACTGTCACCACCTGTATCATACTATTGCCATATGTGACCACCGCCCAACTTAACTAGTGCAATGGCCCACACATATGTAAGCAACTACCCTGATTAGGCAAGGGAGGTAAGGAAACTTTAAGTAACACTTTTTGTAGGACTTGAAAATGAAACCCAAAGAAATTTGTATAACTCATAATTCTTTGTGAATTCGGGTGGGGTTGTATATGGGTGTTTTTTAATAAGGGTGAGAGGGAGGGGCGGTGAAAGGGGGGGGGGGGTGTAAAAATGAGGGGCACAGAGAATAGCTATTTATAAAAATGGGGGGGGGGGGGGGGAGATACTGATAGTTTGCCCCTGGTGCATGAATGGGTCATTATGCTTCTGTTGTGTATAGAGGGGAGGGATGTAGAGATATTGCTAAAGATTATTATGGTCAGACAATGAGAGAAGTTCTGTGTTTAGATTAGGTGAGGTTATGTAATCAAACATGTAATTAACCATGTAATCAAACATGTAATCAACATTGTAATCAACCATGTAACCAACAATGTAACC